GCTGGCAGGAGCCTGTGTGAAGTGTGGGAAAGGCGTGTACGGGGCGGTTTAGTGGGGGGGGGGGGTTACTCACCACAGGACACACAGGTGAAGCAGCGTGTGTGATAGAGGCTGTCCTGAGCCTGGCAGGCGTTATCCGCCCCGTACACGCCTTTCCCACACTTCACACAGGCTCCTGCCAGCACAGAGTGGGGGGGGGGACGACACAACAGACACAAACATGCATTTAGTCGGGAGTAATGGCTCGGCGGGCTCTTAACACTCCCGTTTACGACGCATTCCGAGAGGATGTGTCTGAAATCCAACTCCACACAGAGTGTCAACACTTGTAAATCCTCTCGTTCGCACCACCGAGGGGATTTTCACACAGTTCGAGCCCGGCTACCCACGGCAGCCTGTGTGCTCATCCACCCAAGTGTCTCCGTCGAAGCTCTGTTATTAAAGGGGAAACTCCACCGGATCAGACTCCAGAAAATAGACCCTTTAAATTTGACTTCAAACCCCACAATTGGAGCCGTTTGGAGATTAAATGAGCTTAAACTACCCCGGGAAACAACATCGCTTATTACTACCTGCATCAGCACTTTTGCTGCTTCCTTCTAGTCAATGGAAGATAATTGTTTCCCCCCCATTTAAAGTAAATTAAACAAATGCCTAACTGCCACTTTCTGGCCAAATTGTATCATCTTTCAGCTCCTTTTCCCCCAATTTAGTGTCAGATATAAAAACTCTATTGTCATAACAGTTTGCACCAAGTCAAAATTAGCCCACCGTAAAAAGAAACGCCTCTATAATATAAAACTTAAAGCCAGGCAAACTGTACAGCGACCCAACGTCTCCGTGCGTTTGTCATCTCACAGAATACAGTTTAGTGTAAGTACACGTTCAGCACTAGTCGGGGCGCTAAATGTAAAGTGGAAAAGTGGCGACAGCGTTTCTATTTAAAGGCTCTGCCTGCGTTTTTTCCCCCTTTCTAATGTGGTCGAGGGAGTGTCACACAAAATTGAGAATTCCTACACTCTTGGACAGTCCTTTCAATACTTAGGAACGGGCACCGAGTCTCTGCCCAAAGCCAAACACTAAAAAGGGAAACCATGACTCAAACACGTCCTTTTTAACTTGTGGGAAGAAATCATTAACAAAATATAAATTAGATCGTTTCTTAGTTCACGGGGCAATATATTTTTGTAGTTTTACTTTCTGTTTTTATTTAATTAAAGCTCACACTTTCATATAAGTGTGCTGGCGAGTGTCTGCTGAGCTCAGAGCATCTGTCTTCACGCCTCAGAGCTTGCGATTCCTTCCTAATGGCTGAGCGGTATAGTATTGGATGTCCCCTCCGGGCACGCATACCTGAGCAGAAAAACAGGCTCCAGCACACCGCCCCTGCACACGCCAAGGCAGCATTACACACACACACACACACACACACGCACACACCAGGATGCACACATGACTCACACACACCCACAGCGTTACCGTGGCCTGAAGTCACTCGGGGCGGGAGGGGGGGAAACACACCCTGCCACAGAGAGACAATACACACACACACACACACACACACACAGATCATGAGCCTTAATCTTCTGTGACTCACAGTAATGGTCAGAGCGGTGTTTATATGGAACCGTGTAATTTGTGTCTTGAGCGTTGCAGCAGAATTTTGCAGTTTGACGGCCGTGTAGAGTCGCTGCATTAGCCCTCCCATGTGCACCACGGGATCAGCTGACGTCGCCTGATGTCTCGGGCCACAGGTGCGACCATGAGAGCACACACACACACACACACACACACGCACACGTCTGTCCTACGCGTTTTTTAGATTTTTCTTTCTCTTCAGCCGAACACATCTACTTGTCTGGATCAGTTTCTGCAGCCGGAGATGTTTTTCTCTTCTCCTTTATGCTTGGCATGCTACGACGCTGCGTGTCTCTGCAGGTTTCCAAAAAAGGTACCATCCATCCATCCATCCATCCATCCACTCTTTCAACTATTAATCTGTCCGTCCATCCATCCATGCAACCCTTTCATTTAGAGAGAACCCTGTGATCTAACACCAGGCAGCGTGGAGGACAATAATAACACACCGAGGGCGGATGCCGGGTGACCTGGCGCCCCATTAGGAATGCATGGGATACCGTGCGTGAACAGGGATGAGTTTACAATTAAACGCAGCTTTGTTTAACTCGTATCTTGGCTACCTCTCTCCTCCCTTTCCACGTGTGCCCTGAAAACTGTTAAAAGATAAAGAAAAAAGGATCTCACCAAAGAACTCCTGGCGGTTCTCCACGGCCTCCCTCCCACCTCCGACTCCTGGATCCTCCTGAGGTTTGACGGGCCCTCCGGCTGAGCAGGGCCCCATTGTTATTGTGCTGGGTTTGGAGAGAGCCGTGAGGGCCAGAGACTGCTCCTTCAGCATCAGCCCCTCCAGGAGCCCCCCGCCTGCCAGCGCAGCATCTCTCAGGAGAAGTCGGGTGAGCTCTTCCTGGTAGCGGGTGCCAGGCAGGTCCGAGTACCTGGTCCTGTCTCCCATCACACCCCCCTCTTTGCCTCTCACTCCGGCCTGCTGCTCCACCCACCACTCCGGGCCGGCCTGGTAGCACGCGGCCCCTGGACTTCCAACAGCAGGCGGGTAGGAGTGTCGGCTATCGTGGGCCCCCGGACGCATCCCTCCATCCAAGTACTGAGTCCAGGCCTCCACAGGGGTCACCCCGGCCCTGCCTGGAGGGCCATAACCAGCCATAGAGCCCCCTGTCTGCATGGAGGGGCATTGCTGCTGTGGGGGGAGGCCCCCGGAGGCTGAGTAGCGAGAGTCGTAGCCCAGGCTGATGCCACTGGTCCGGTTGCTGCTGCAGCGGCTCCCCATGGGGCTTCCTCCGCCGCCGCCGCTGGCCGTGCTGGAGGCGAAGCTGGACCTGGGGCTGACCAGCACCGACTCCTGGAGGCTGAACGACGAGCACGGGCTCAGGGTAGGTCCCGGGGGGTAGAAGAAGCCTCCTCCGCTCCCATCAGATGTGCGGTGCGGTGGATGAGAGAGGGACGCGGGCCTGGGGGTCTCCCACATTTCACTGCCTGTGCTCAGGCGTTTGTAGAACAGAGCCTCCTGGAGAGAGAGGCGCTTGTGCCTCTCGTGCTCAGAGAGGTAGCCGGGCTCTGCCAGGCCGCCTCTGGGAGCCGACCCATAGCCCGCGGAGGCCGGGTACGGCGGGGGAGCGGAGAGAGGCGGCGGCTGGGAGAGGAGCTGCTGTCGCCGCACCAGCTGCTGGAGCTCCAGGGAGTAGCGCCGCTGATTGAGGGACGCCTTGGAGCCGAACGCCCCCAGAGGGTCACACTCGGGGCCCAGGCCGGACTCGCGCCTCAGGTGGGAGTCCATGCCGTCGCCCAGGTAGCAGGACGCTCGCTGCTGGGGGGAGCGACGCCTCAGCGGAGCCAAGGTGGAAGGGTGGAGCGGTTGCTCGCCATCCTGAGGGATGGATGAGGAAGACGGCGATGGGGCGAGGAGCTGAGAGGGAGGCATCCCTCCTCCTCCCCCTCCTCCTCCTCTCCCACTGGCTGGAACACATGCGTCGCTTGTGGTCGACGAGGCAAGCGAGAACGGGCCGGGTCTCGAGGGTGAGGCTGCAGAGCTGGGAGCCAGTGGAAGACCGCCGCCGCCCCCGGAGTTGCCAGTGTTGGCGTTGCTGTTGTTGGCGTTGTTGGCAGAGTCATGCTTTTTCTTTGAGCTGTTGAATTTCACACTGCCCGAGTCCGTTAGCTTTAACTTCTCCAATAACTTGCTTATCGGCCTGTCCATGATGAAGCCTTCTCGTGGTTTTTACCTGGCTGGGGCAAAGTCAAATCCCACCCCCCCCACCTTAAATTACAGATTAATGTGCTCAAATACAGTGTGGGTACACAGCAGAACAACACAGTTCAAGTAAATCTAGTCTTCACTACGACAGATCAAATGGAAGCTTTTCAACCGGTTAAAAACTGGCCTTGAAACCAGCACAAACCTTTTAAAAAAAGAACCCTTATATACACTCAATAAATACAAGACAGATAAATAAGACTTTTTAAGACATTTCAGGGTGGTTACATGACTTAAGTCCTCGCAGTCATCTGGTTTGCCTTCATGTGGATAATCCACTGGCACGTGCAGGCTGCGGTGAAGAAGAATCCATTGGATTATTAGGCAATTACTAAAAGAGTTCAAGTCAATCCAGCCAGGAAATAAAAGACAAATACATCCAGGACACTTCGGGGTGACCTATGGTCGTGGAGGGCCTCCTTTGTGGACCCTCATGCAGCTCCACATCTGCATCTTCTCTCCGAGTTAATCTGTCTGAAATACACTTCAGTGGAGTCGGTGTGATATCTTGGTTATCCAGTGCGGTGTGGGGGTGTCTCTCTCCGTTTGAATTTCCCTTTTTTCTTCTCTTTCTTTTAAACACACAAAGCGGAGAGAGAGGTTCCGCGGGACGCAGTGCTAACAGTTATCACCGCTTCATGTGGGTCCAGTGTAGACAAGAGGAATAAATCCGTCTGTGCACAGATAAGTGGACTCACCCGACTTCTGCCATTCATCTCGGGGCGAAACGTGCTCGGAAAGAAAAACTAAAACAGCATTATTAACTTTAACTCAACGGGAAAAAACACACACGTATACCGGGGACTAAGTCTCCTCAGCCCGTCCGTCCATCCGCCTGGAGCTCGGCTGCTTTTATCATTCCCCGTTTCCAAAAAGGAAAAAGTAGCGAAATAGTAGCGGAGAGAAGTTTTAGGAGAGAGGGAAGGAAACGAGGGGAAACTGGAGCTCCGTTACAGTCACGTCCCAGCAGACCGGTGCTGGACTAAACGAGTCGCTCGAGATAAATAAAATCCCTCCCCGTGTGCATTGCACGGTCGACAACTTTGTCTTTCTTTCTTGCCCCTAAATAATTACTTACCTCCCCCCTCTTTTTTTTTTTTTTTTTTTTTTTGCAAGTCTGTCAAGCTAGCAATGACGGAGAGACCGACTTCCGGTTATACCCGTTCAAAATAAGCTCATAACCGGCGACTGTTATATTTAAAAGGTAAAACAATCTTAGCCGATTCATAGTAACGCTTAGGTTTCGCTTTGCATTGAAGACTATACTCTTGTTTGATATTTAGACACTGTTTTATAGTTAGAAACTCCCAAATGGTTATTTATTCGCCCTCCCTTTCGAAAGCTACATATACGTCGCCTTTATTTTGAAGGTGGAATCTCTGAACGACCGTTACTTTGCGTTCCGTCGGGTTGTCCAGCTTGACGCATCACTGTTCCTTTATCAGTGAGCGGCGGCTCGTTTCCCCCCACAAGGCCGGGACACCTTTCCACCAGCCATGACTGTTTCGTCATTCATACGCAAAACTCCCCTCAGAGGATGAGCACACTCCGCCAAGACCTGCTCTTTACAACAAAATAGCGATGTTAAATAAGAAACCTGCTCATGTAGAAAAACAACAGCCTACATAGTATATCACTGGGTTATTAGTGATGCATTAAGGTGCATTATGGTGCACCAGGTAAAGTGCACAAAGGCCTATAGGCTGCTGGATAGCTTAATTCATTATAATAAGTCAGAATGTATTGGTTAATTCATATTGGGTATTACTATTTGCAAAATAACTAAACTCTGCCAAGTAAACATATTGGATTAAAAAGTGCAATAGTCCTACTTCCATCTGAGGTAGTTGAGTAGAAGTATAAAGTAGCACAACATGGAAATATTCAAGTATTGTACAAGTACTTCATTGTACTTAAGTACAGACCTTGGAAATAATGTAGTTAGTTACAAAGTTCTTCACAATAAAAGATAAAGGAAAGAAAAATGTGATTTTTTGATTTGATGTTTGGTTAAAAAATGATCTGTGGGGTGTAGGAGCAGCACTTTGACTCAATACCTCAATATTTCTAAAACCTTTTTAACCGTTAGGTTCATATTTACTATGACTGTGCACTGGAGACAGATGTGTTCATGTGGCTGTGGTTTGGCACGAGCTTAAACGTTGGACTGGCCACCAAGCCAAACCACCACTGTAAACAATTCTGTTTTCAGAAAAGCCATTATTTAGTTTTTCCTCATATAACTGTAACCCCCAAAACCAAGCTTACTGCTGTCTCAATAATTCTGTTAAAGTTAGTTTTGTGGGCCTTAATGTAAGATATAACCTTTAATGTTTTAAACCATGGTGGAAAGTAACTCAAGTACTTTACATGAATATTTTCATAGTACTTTATACTTCTACTCTACGAGTAAGAGAAGTATTGTACACTTTTTACTCCCTTTTATTTACTTGACACTTAAACTTATCAGTTATTTTGCAAATTAAGATATTCCACACAAAACATATGGTCATCTTATTAAATATTACATCCTTAAAGATTAATCTACCAAATAGTATATAGATTAGTTAATATCCACAAAATGCTGCCCACACAAAAATAATAACAATAGATAATACCATATTTTACAACACCTTCCATATACTGTGCTCAATTTCAAATGCATGGCTTTTATTTATAATGCAGTAATCTAACAGTGGCACTACTTAGTAATCGCTGTTTCTCTGCATTTCACGCCAACTCATTTAAAAAAAACTGCGTCGTTCGGGCAACGGTACTACTTTATCGTTCCACCAGCCTGTGGAATGTGCGCAGGGACACCGGTGCGTGAGGCGGCGGGTGAATTTTTTCGGCGTGTCTGAGTTCTCCAAGGAAGATACAGAGTAAACATCCCGCTACTATTTCAGGACCGGGCGGCGTTAGTCAGCCAGCCCCGATTCCGGTCCCTTTTTATTTTGTGGCAGTTGGTGGACACACCTAAACACACAAAGCTCCGATAAAGTGACTGTGTTTGGCCCATGTTTTAATAAGCTTGTCCTTCTTTATGTGTGCCCTGGAGCCTCCCCCCCCTCCTCCTCCTCCTCCATATGGGAGCCTTTTCGTGGCCCCTGCGGTTCACCGGAGTCCCTGCAGCAGACTCTGGCGTTTAGCTCACAGGCTGCGAGTGGGAACTTGCCTGAAAAGCTAACAGAGAAATTCTTCTGGGCTTAGTAGCGGAGCACTTCATACAAAAACAATACTTTGAAGAGCTGCGAGAGCGGCGCGGTGCTCTGTCTGCATATCTGTCCCGTCTTTTAGGCCCTAAAACAGATACACCAAGTCAACCCACCCCTCCTCGTGTGTGTTTGTGTAATTACGGAAGGCATGCAAACACATGTGAGGCTTTTTGTTTTTGAGTAATTTCAGTGGAAAGATGTGTTGTCCAAACTTGAAGCGGAAGTCTGGTGTTTTTTTTAAGTATCTCACTTATTTAAACCTGAGAGACAGAGTACACAAATACTGGTCTCTCCTAAGTGATATTGTGGACCTCTTCAGACCTCTAAAGATATTATAGCCCCGATGACGTCACTGTGACATCTCATTATCTTTAGACGTGACAAAGCTCACCCCACAGCCTCGGGAGACGTTATTCAACTGTTGGCTGTGAAAACTACTCCTCGTGACGAGTCACCTGACTTTGACATGTACAATCAGCGGAGAGCTCCTTCAATGAAATATCTAATAGATTATTTTCGTTCCACTATAAAGCCTAACTGCAGATAATCAGCATATGTTTCCTACAGTAAAACAGGGCCGTTTATATATTTAATTACAGGTAAACGTTACATTAAAGATGCATACATCAACAGCGGGTATCGTGGAGGACAAAATACCAAGAAAATGCAACAGCAACAAAGAGAAAAGGTGTGTTTCAATGATGGTGATGGCCGAAGGTATGTTCCTGTTATGGGGCCCTCAGGCAAAGAAAATTGCTGTTGGGCCTCTATTGAACCCAAAATGCCTCTGCCACGTGCTGCCCTGTATGTCCCCATCATGTACAGTGCACAGATTCAACATCTGTATTGCTTGTACTGTTTTTGTATCTTTGTTTGTCCATTCTAGAAATAAAAAACAACCACAAAACTTTAGCAAAATCAATGTAAAAATAGAAAATACATATATATATATATATATATATATTGTCACTTTCAGCTTTTCTTTTCTTTTAGTTGTAAAATCTACTTTTCAGTCACAAAATAGTGACAATAAAGACAGCCAGGCCACCTCAGCGCACCTTTAGCACCACCTAGTGGTCAACGCGGTATTGCGCAGACAACATGGCGGCCCCCGTGAGGACATTGTGCTGTGCAGGTGAGACAGAGGTTATTCACGAAAACCCATGTATTTGAGACCCGTTAAAAAACTTAAACTCTATCTTCGTTGTTGTAAATATCTTCTCGTACTTACTCGCTGCCTTTGATACACCTGCCCGCGTGAATAACCGCCGGAAATGCAGTAAGAGCTACGGATGCTAACGCTAATGCTAACAGTTCTGTCTTACAAACTCCTCAGTAAAGCAGCATTTGTTATGTTCAGGGTTATTTCAGCGCAATGTTACGCAGCTGACACACTAGCGAAAGAAAGTACCAACACACGAGCCTTTGTACTTATTGTATACGGATCTGTATCTGCTCATAATATCGTGGAGTGTTTGTACACGGCGGTTTTGTTTTGTGATGTGTTCCAGTGTTGAGGCTCTCCAGCAGGCAGTTCAGCACAACGTGTGGAGTACAAGCTGGGGAGAAATGGAGGAAAGAGTAAGTTCACTGTTAACACGCTGCTGCTGTATTTAGCAGGTTTTAACTATGTAATTGCAGTTAAATCTAGTTTATTTGAAGTCTAGTTTGGGTACATGCATCTCTTCAGCTGACAATAGAAGGGGAATTGAAGTGGGAGTCCCTTTAAGATGAACTCTACTGATTTACACATCAAAGTCAGTCTACAGGTGTTAGGAAGTACTACTGCATACAGAAGACGTGGAGAGCCTTTTTATGGCTTTATGTGTTGGGGGTTGAACTACTGCGACTAGATGAGAATGGGGGACATTTGTAACAGGGGAGTTTGGGGGGGAACAGTGGAAAAAAAAATAGCTGATTAGGCACAAGGCCTCTCATTCTCTGTTTCTACTTTCACAACGTTTGTGTTTGCTTGCAGACAAGGACTCGCCCGAAGTGGCACAGAGTACGGCCATCTGACAGATCTGCCTGATTGGTCGTTTGCAGGTATTGTAATATTTTGACCTCTTTCAGGTATTAGGAGGTATTATCAAGCAACAAAGGACACATTTAGAGCTCGCTTAAAGAGGCAGTCAGCAGGGATTCATGTTATTTCCATGTAGGGTAATTGCTCTTATTAAATCCTGCTTGCAATAGTTGGAGAAAGCGGTGGCCATGTTGTGCTCTACTTGTAGCACACTTTGTAATTTTCCTTTTTTTTTTTTTTTCATGTTTGTGGAACGGGACAGATGGGAGACCAGCGCCTCTAATGAAAGGACAGCTGAGAAGAAAGCAAGAGAGGGAAGTGTTAGCAGTGAGTATCAACACCTTAAAGCATCTTCCTTTTTTATATCTCCTTGTCTTGTCTGTTTCATCCATCACTCTGTCTGTAACCATGTTCCTGCTCTGTCTCACAGAGACGTATCGTGATGCTGAACTCGGAGGTGGACAGAGGAATGGAGGCGTGGAGTGAAAAACAGGAAGAAGCCAAACGACTGGAGGAGTACAGGAAGTCTCTCTTACTCAAACCTAAAGGGAAGTTGCTAATGAAGAAAGCATCTAAAAGTTAGACATGTTATCATATCCTTATTGTGATTTATTGAATATATTTATGAGGACTTGTGGGTTTTCATGTTTGTTTTTCATGGATTTCTGCAATAAATGTTGTGATTTATACTCTAAATATTGTTGCCTCGATCATTTTACATATGTCACTCTGAGTTAATGTCTCTCAGCTTCCACTAGATTGCAGCATTTCTCCTTTTTTTGCGAGGCAGTGTGACGGCTCAAACGCCATTTTGTCCTGAGTTGGGCTCAGAGAGGAGTTTGGGTCGGGCGGGCAGAGGAAGGGGGAAGCTGGCGAAACATAAAGTAGCACTGATTCAGGATCTGCTGCGTATGAGTGTGTTTTAAAGAGGGAGTTCACACCTTGGCATGCTGTTGTAACTCGATTGTTATTACTCTAAATACATGACGAATGTTTCGCTCAAGACCACCTCGGTGAAGCGGCTTAGTTAAGTTTAAGTAGAAAATCTTATGTGACGCCATCACCAGAATAATTGACAATTTGCACGTTTTTTATTAGCATGAGTGAAGACAAATCTGTTCCAAGATAAAAAGGGGTGTTTCCAGCTACATTTTGGGCTCACATCATGCTTTGCGTTACTCATTTAAAAGCAGTATTTCGTGGGGTAAAAAGTCTGAATTTTGAATGTGCTTTTCTGCAGCCCGGTGTCTGGAAAGATGATTAGCTTGCTGCAGCCAAGTCGCATCCCATAGAAAGAGATATTCTTTTCGAGTATCAAATTTTAAGCTCGCTGAAGTCTTAATCATTCTGCAGAAACACTTTTCTTTTGCTCCGTTTTGATTTTAAAAGCAGAAAACGTAAATCGCCTACGAAGAATGAAACCTAATCCCAGTTCCTTGTGTCTTTAAAGTTGTTAGAATCTTTTTTTTAAAACAACATAACCACACTGATGATTTATTTTGAAGAGAATCAAACTGAACTTTTTGTCGGACGCATTTAAGGTGTAAAGGGACGTTTTGCAGAGAGACGCTGAGCAGCTGTGCCTTTGTAGAGTCGGCACTAATTCAGTGTGACGTTGACTTATAAACAGACTATTTACTGAATGAGGTCACCCTCTCCTCACCCTCACCCCTGCTCTCTGCTCCCTTCCTCACGTCCTCCTCCATCTGCCTCCTTTTTTTCTCTTCTCTCTCTCTTTGTCTCGTTGCAGACTTCAGCAAAGCCCCACTGTAATTAGGGCTGCTAGCTGCTGAGTTGCAGATTCTTTTCTGTGGGGATGGGAGTTTTCTCTCCCTCCCCCCCCCCCATCCCCCCTTTCCTCTCCTTGTCTGGACTTTTTCATACAGTTGACCAAAGGAGCTGACTGTTTGTTGCGTGGGAGGACACTGAACTGACCACAGAGGGTGTTAAAGACCAAAAAAAAACTGTTGTTAGAAATGCAAAAGTGGTTAGCGTGGCGACATTTATTCATTCACACGCACATCCTCACACCTGCCAAATGCACCAACAGTGAGAAATGTGACTCCTCATTCTTTCTCTTGATGCACCATTTTTTTTATCACATCCTGCTTCTCTGTGAATGTCTTTCTCCTCAACAACCTCTCTTCCTCCTCCTCCTCCCTTCCTCTCCTCCTCGTGTTGTTTTGGTTTTGGGGAAATGAGAACCAGATGTTGCTTATTGTGCAGATGTCAGCGATGGAGGGAGGGTTGCTGGGGTGCTTCAGGGGGCGCTGGGTGAGGATCAGTCTGCTCGGATGGAGGGCGAAGGGTGAGGGTGGATCTGTAGTTTCACCCGCAGACCAGAAACCGGGAGGGCTTCCTGGCCGATGTGACTAGGATGGGATGGGGGGGGGGTGCAGAGTCAGGGGGTCTGATTCAGCATCTCTGTTCCCAGAGACCGCTTCCTGACCTGGGTGTTCCTGTAGAGTACGGGGCACCCTGGGTAGCATGTTTTTTTTTTTTTTTTTTTACAAATCACACAGTCTGAATGTTTTGAACTGTGCATGACTGTATGAGAACTGGCTCTGCAGACCGTAATTATCTTTGTTTGTTGCTGGGTGGACAGTAAACCACGTGGCTTCCTTCGTACTTTCGGTATTTATTTGCTTTTTTTTATGAAAACTGAATTAGTATGTTTTGGCATCAGGACAGATTATTTTCACTCGTGTTTCATTTCAGTTTGTTAAAATGCTTCTGCTGAAGTGGGGAGTTTGTTCTGTAGGAGATGAAGAAGTACTCGCATCCTTTGCTTGAGTACATGTACCAGCAAGTACATGTACAGAAGTATTATTTACTAGTGCTCATTATGCAGAAAAATGTTAATTGTCGCGGTGAAGCTAGTTTTAACTATACAGTTTGTAGTTTAGTCCAGTGGTTCCCAACCTGAGGGTCGGGCCCATCCAAAGGATCACAAGATGAATCTGAGGGGTCGTGAGATAATTTATGGGAAAGGGAGGAAGGTTGAAGAAGTTCTGCTTCACAAATTTGTATTCATATTTGGACTTTTTGGGGGGATTTCACTTTTTTAGTGAAATATTATATAATTTGGGCCTCAAACAGTTATTTAAATTAAACTGTCTGAGGAGTTTAGCGTGGGAATAAATCATCTATCTAGACCAATTTTTGTTATATATCTTTTTTTTTAACAAGTTTTTATTATGTAAAACTAATGTGAAACTAGGCAGTTAGAAGTGCAGCATTTGCCTCTGAAATGTAGTCGCGTAGAAATATGAAGCAGCATAACATGGATAATATTCAAGTAACGTACAGGAACCGTACAATTGTACTTAAGTACAGTACTTGAGTACGTGTACATTCCAGCACTGCAGGCAACACTAGAAAAAGTTACAGTAGAAAGTAAATGGCATAATGTAGGTCACCCAAACAAAGCCTCAGGTTGAATTGCAAGCAGCTGTCCTGGCCACTTCCTGCCTGGCATGGAGAAGAAGTGCTGAGCTGGATGGTTGTTCCTGCACCGCACAGCCAGGCTGTATGAGTTCTACAGTAAAATGGCTGAGAGAGAGAGAGAGGGGGGAGAAAGAGAGGAATAGAAGCCAACATGGCTGCCAAAGGTCTCATCTGCGTTCATGTCCTTGACCTACAAGACGGAGAGCAGATGCTTGGCAGACAAACACGGTCACATCTCCAAACAGACAAAATCAAGTGAAAAATGTGCGTTTGATTTATTTCCCAGCAACATCCTTTCCGACATCAAACACGATCGTATCTTGTCCGACTGCTCCGCTCACAGAGATGGCATCGCTTCAGTTTAAAAGTGTAACATCTTTAACAGGGCTGCGGGGCAAAGGAAGAGTTTCTGGCAACATTGAACTTTACAGGAGTCACAGTTTCCTTTTGATTTTCAAGAAAGAAACTGGAAGGTTTCTGGAAACAACTACAGAAAGCAATTTGGTTATAATTATAGGAAACATGGTGACATGACACAGCCAATGAATTAATCCTGAAGCCAATAGCATTAGTTCCCCGTCTGAACGTCGTGACCCGAACAAAGAGTCATCCAATAAATCTAAAGGGTTGAGAGACAATTAAAGGATAAAAAGCAGAATCTTTATTTATTTTTGGTGTATATTTCTGGTTGATATCAGCTTTTGGTCTCCAGGCCTAAAAATGTTTACTTTTTATTAACCTTGTTCATAACGCAGTATACAGTGCTTCATTTTAAACTCTGAAACTGATTCAGATTCAGTGTTTCACTCTGAGACACTTACAGAAATTGAACCAGTAAGAACAGATGTTTGGCTGGTAATAATGCTATTCTAATGTATTTCACCAGCATCTATGTATCCATCAGTGATCCGGTGGAGCGGTGGAGGTTTGGAGTCCCCGAAACAGTTCATGAGCGAGGTCCACTGAGACAAATGGAAAGACCGGGTGACAGACAGAGAGAAAGAGAGAGATAGACAGTTTGGCCAGTGAAAGGTGGCAAGTGGATGAACAGATGTGAGTAAAAAAGAAAAAGAAAAGGTTAGTGTTCATTAGTCCAATGAAGATGCACTTGGTGCAAGAATACCTCAACAGTGTCTCTGACAGAGAGAGATATAGTTGAAGTCAGTTCAACCAATCAAGCTAATTCTAAAGTCTGTATGAAGTAATGTTTTCTTCGTTCTGTGGTGTTTTGTCTCCAGTTAAAATATCTTCTTTATCACGTTAAAGAGCAACTTTAAACCAGCTTGTTTTTAGCTGCCCTCCGTTGGTTTACCTTCTCTCCTGTCTGCAGTGATGTAGAAATGTACTTCAGGGTGTGTCAGTGCACTGTGACATCACTGTTGAACACTTACCCAAGGGCCCTTTTACCTCCACTGGGTAACACCTGATCAAAAACAGGATCAAAGGTGTATCAATGAGGCTCTTTTTACACAGTAATATCGCAACAGAGCGCTTTCAAAACTGGAAACAGTTAAAAATGGGAACGGTGCTATGGTCATGTGTTGTGGTTGATGTAATTTACATGAAAATAGTGTTTTTGAGAGACTAAACTGTAGTTGAATACCAACCAGATTTTCAGCAATTGATCTTGTGGCTGCTGTTGTTTACCGCTACACGGACAGATTGTGAAGAGTTAAAAAAGAGAGTTTGAGGAAAAAGGGTTTGGGAGGAGGAAAGGGCAGAGAAAGAAAGAGAGCAAAAACAAACCAGAGATACTTGTGGTGAGAGGAGTGGTTTGAGACTGAAGCCTCATAAAAAGAACAATTTTGCAGTGGGTGAGGAAATGGGAGAAAGGGGGGGAGGCTGCTTGCAAAAGGATTTTTTGGATACAAATGTGCAGAGGGAAAAATATCCCCAAACCTATGAAATCATTTCTGTTTTACTTCCCTCCTCATGTCGCTCTTCCCTTTCTCTGTTTTTCTGTCACACAATTTTTCTTCATGTTTTTATAATTCATTTCCAGTGGAGACATACAGGGCTTAAACGTTTTGTTTTTGTAACACACACACACACACACACACACACACACACACACACACACAGACATACAGTACACACACATGCAGCCGGGCTTGGCCGAGAGGTTGAGATGTTTCATATACCAGATGCTCAGTTGGACAGAACTTCTCTGAAAAATGTGAGCGTTCCATTTCCAAAACAACCAGCGGCGATGTAACTGTATCCAGAATGTCTTTGTTTCCTCCTTTTTTGTTTTGTTTTTGTACAACACTGCATTGCTTCTTAATTACTGATTCATATGTAACACCCGTTTGCATCGTTTAGCTTGTGGATTTGATTGTGCAGAGTGCAGGTAATGTCTGTAGAATGTTGACATAAATCGTCATCATTTGATCTTTCACATTTACATACTTTATATCTATGAACAAAACTACTTGTTGTGAAATAGACGACAACAACTTCTGTCACTGACTGACACGATTGACCCGCAGAGCGGGACATAATGGAAAAAGAGGAGGACCACAAACCGAAAAAACAAAAAACAAAATAGCAGATGTTATAATCTGGCAACAGCAGCTCAGGCTGAAGCGAAATTAACTGGAATGATGAAATCCTCCCAAACAAGCTACGTCTTCCAGACACTGGTAATAAATGGGAGTGACAGTAAGCATCATGTCCTTCTGAGAACACAATGGTATCAGTTTTTGGATACTGACTGCAAAAGCGAAGTACATTATGCAAATGACAATACAGTAGTTTTAGCATGTAGCATGGAGTTAAGAAACGGACTCAATTAAAGCTACCAGAGCAGAATGTTTGCCTACATGGAAGCATGCATACAGGAAATTACAGGAAATTTCCAAGTAAGTTTGTTTGTTTTTTGTTGATGAATTCAAACAGAATTTCCTTCAGAATAGTTGTGGTGAATTGGTTATTGTTAGTTACATTTGTTTTTTGTTATCTGATAAATATAATAATAAACTATAAAAAAGATTTTTTCTTTTACATTTTTGGGAAGTCAAGTTTGACATGAAAAAACTTGTTTGGCTTAAAGTTTCATTTAACATTTAGCTTTTCTTTCCCCAGGCGTTAAAGCTTGTGTGCTAATCCACTGGAGAAGAGAATGTGAAAGCATGGAAGAGAGGAAACAACAACACAAGATTGTAGAAAATAGTTTCACTTCGCTTCATCAGATGAAATACAAAAGTGAAAACAGGCAAGAAAAAAAATCTCATTCCATTTTATTGATATGATCATCATTATAAATATCATTACCATTATCATTGTTATTAACTAAATGAATTCACCTTCAATTATGATTTATGTAAAAAAAAAAAAATAATCATTGAGCACCATCAAACCATCAAAGTTCATAAATAGCATCGCTTGTTACTCTGTGCCGACATCTCTGTAATTCCAGGTGTTTCAGAGTAAAAAGAAACTCCCTGAACTCACATTTCGCCCCCTGATCTGATTCATCACATGCTGAGTGTAAATTGGGATTCATCTCCATCATTGTCACGTTACGCCTCTGTCCAGCAGGACTCCGAATGACAATGTACAAAAGCAACAAAACAAAAAAAAAGTCCCTATAACTTTACCAGGAGAACAATAATAACAATAACCATACTTATAATAACAACAATTTCCCATAACAACGATAATAATTAAAAAAATTGCACTATATTGTTGGAAACTGTACCGCTTTCTGACACATTGTTTGGACAAGCAGCTCTGCTCCTATTGGTCAACAACAAATGTACTGGAATGTTTGAAAACTGAGTTAAAACGTCACGTTTTTTTAAGAAAAATATTTTTCCCGTCTGACTGTTTACACTGAAAGAAGAGTTATGCTTGTGAATCAAGTTGCAGTTGAAACACATAAAAAAAAGGATTCTAGTTTTACTGATCACAAATCCTATCCGTGCGCGTTCAGAGGTCTGCATCAATCAATACTGACACTGTTCAAGTGCTGTTGTTCTCGGCTCCATCAAACAAGAGGCAGGTGATAATGACTAAAACGTGTTTAGCAGATGGGAGAGAATCTTCTTCGTAGTCGGGCTGGGCATCGCTTTAAAATGTTCAATGCTGGTGAGGGTACGATACCGATTACCAATATCAATTGGCAGAATTTTGTGTAAAATCCTGAACTATTTGATTAAAGAATAAGTAAACAAAGTTACGCATATGACCAGAAATTAAATGCTAACTTGACAGTTTTTAATACCACGTGCAGTCGACACATTTAAGGCAGTACTAGAGAAGTATGAGATACCCAGCCCTACTTAGTGGTAAAAAAAAAAAAAACATTTTAAGAAATACTGCATTGCCGAATATCAAAACTTTGAACAGTGGATTCAGAGCAAAAATGTCACGTTGAAATTAACTAATTTCAAACTCCCTCAAAAATAAAACCTCAACAGATTTTTTTGACAGCAAATGTATTTCAGAGCAAAAACTCTGAACAGAGGTGATGAATTTCTGAGTACAACCTAAAAGTGAATCACAGATCTCAATGTTAGACGCGAATCAGACAGCAGTTCAGCTGGAGTCGTCCAGTTAAAGGAGAGGAAGGAAGGAGGGGATGTTTGCTTTTTAATACCTGGGATGTGAGAGAGGAGAGGTGTTGATGAGTCTCTTTGTATATTTCCCTTCTCTATGTGAGATTGTGGGTACGTTGGTAAACCTCTGAACACAGAGTACATGTAAATAGTTAACATACAAATACACATTTTCCTGATTTCAGTTTCTAGGGCCTTTTATTCTTTCTTTTCTCGTTTGTGGCACATACAAACCACCCAACACTTAACACATTGTCCCCCCCCCTCCTATCCTCCATTATTTTTTCTCCGGTTGCCGTCTCCTCTTCCATTTCTTCCTCCCCTCAGTTTCCACCTTCACCCGGCCCTCTCTCTCTCTCTCTCGCTCTCTCTCTCTCTCTCTCTCTCTCTCTGTCCCTCTGTGGCAGTCTGTCATTCACCCCGTCGCTCCGTCTACACCTTGTCCAGGAGGGATCTCTGGCAGTAGAGGAGGCGCCGAGGCGTGCCGTACTTCCTGAAGAACAAAAGCGCTCCCAGAGTGATCACAACCAGCACCAGCAGGAGGAGAGGGATGACCACGGCCACCGGCCCGGCCCCGCCCTGCGATTTCTCCACCTCGATGATGATCACCTCCTCTTCCCGGCCCTTCTTGGGCTCCTCGCCTTCGCAGCCCATCCAGTCGGTGAGCACAGACTTGGGGTAGCCGGACTCCACCTTCATGTACTGGTTGTTGAACTTCCAGTACTTGTTGGCTTTGTAGAAGTAAGTGTAAGCTGAGGAGAGTGGAGAGAAAGAGTTCAAATCTGGCACTTATTATCTCTATTAACTGATTAACTGTTTGGTTTCTTATCTTGAAAATGCATGTTTTGCCCGAACAACACTCCAAAACTCAAATACATTTAGTTTGATATCGCACATGGGAAAGAAAAGCAGCAAATCCTCACATTTGAGATTATGATTGATCGATTGTCAAAGTAGCTGCCAATTAATTTTCTGTTGTTGTTTCTGTCTCTAACTGGGATTTAGACATCCACGTGATCAGTTCAATGGGGAGCAAAACTCACATCCATCTTCACTCATGATGGCGGCTTTAATGTGTTCCGGCACGCCGCTCCACGTGCTGATGGGCTTCGGATAGCCGCTGTCCACGGTGCGAGTCTGCTCGTTGAAGCGGTAGTACCTGCAAGTGACACGAAGACACAAAACTGTTAAAGATGTACAGTGTTGGAAAACATTTCCTAGAAGAAACAGCTTTGGGTGATTATATTCATACAACAGGGGAACACCAAGGTTCAGGTCCTTGCTGTTTTTTTTTGGGAATGTGGGGTTTTCTACTGTTGCGCAAAAAATGACGTGGTAGTTTTTAGTTTTCACGTATGCAGTAATACTCTTTCACTGAATTACATACAGGAGGGACAAAGTGTGAGTCAGAGAACTGAAATGTAGATGCTACCTTCAAAACAATTTCACAGATAAGCACGGTAAAAGTACAAGTTGTAACAGGTTACTGCAACTGTGCAAAGAGTATGAGCAGTATCTGTTTGGACAAAAGGGAAAGAGATTGAATCTATGCATGAGTGCGGCAGGAATGCTCCCACAATGCTTTATAGAAAAGTGATGAGGAAGTACTCCAAGTCTTTCATCCTTTGAGATGAGGACAAACTTGTTTAAACTTCTCTTCAGGGAGAAGTTGTTTTCACAAATGCAAAAATCGATTACACTCACGAAGAGTGAAACATACTTTTAAATGTGCGCTGTAAAACCTCAACAGAGGACCGACTCACTTGTTGCTTCTGAAGAAGTACGTCTGTCCTGTCGGTGTGTAGAAGAGAGCAGCGTCGATCTTGTCTTTTGGCAGACCGGTGCCCAAGTCTTTCAGGCTCTTTGGAGAATCCTTGTCCATGCTGGACTCGCTGAAAACCCAGTACTTGTCACCTGGAGACACAATCAGAAGGGAGACAGAGAAGAAAGATCAGAAGAGATGAAGGAAGACCAGTCGTAAGAGCTAACACGTCAAGTTCATCACTCGAGCAGCTGCGGTGACTCAATCACAAAGAATCTGGTTTCAATCTAATCTCAGATGGAACCTACCCTTGAAGAAGACGAATTTCCCATCGTCCCTCTCGTAGGCGGCGTTGATGTTTGAGGGCAGGCCCTTCCAGAAGTGACTGATGGTCATCGGGTAACCTGGCAACACCTTGTTGTTACGCACACGCCAAAACCACTTGTCCTGCAAACACACACATAGATTAGAAATAATGCATTTTACTGGGACACTTGCATGGAACAGAGCCATCGTTGATGGTATGACTGACTCCTGTTCGTTCTCTATCGCCACGAGTCAAAACACCATTCATTTCGTCTCATTTGAAAGTTTGAGGACACATTGTACCTTGAACACAAACTTTTCCCCTCTGAGGACAGCGATGGTGTCAAAGTGTCCCTCGCAGACGTCCGGGCCGTTGTCGGGGGTGGACGACTTCGTGGGTCGAGGGGGAGGTGGGGGAGGAGGGGGAGCCCCAGACTTTGTTCCTGTGGGGAAGATATTGTGAGAGAGAGAAGTGTGAAATGGTTAATGACATATTCCACCACTTTGGTCCGGACTGAAATATCTACGGACTGGGTTGCCTTGAAATTTTGTCCACACGTTCGTTGAACCCAGATGATGAATCCGACTGACTTTGGTGATCATCTGTCTTTCCCTCTAGCGCCACCATCATGTTCACTTTCGGGGTTTTGTGTGAAACGTCTCAACAACAATCAGATGACACCATCAGGTCAGAATCTAAATTTGTTCAATACTTTGTTTGACTTAATACCTGAAGCCGGATATTAACATAGCACTTATCTCTACTGTTGCATATTATATTTTGTTGTATATATTGTGTATTTTGTAGTCCATCATACCCATTGACGGACTAGAACTCTAACTGATTGACACGCTCAAAGCAACACTGTGAATAAGCCTCAATGAACTGCTAACATGGCTGTAGACCCTGTTAAAGGAGACATATGATGCTTATTTTAAGGTTCATACTAGTACTTGGGGTTTCTACTAGAACATGTTTAGATGCTTTAATGCTCAAAAAACACTTTATTTTTCTCACACTGTCCGTCTGAATGATACCTGTATTCACTCTCTGTCTGAAACGCTCCGTTTTAGCGCACCTGTCTCTTTAAGACCAGTCTGCTCTGATTGGCTTGCGAGGAGCATCACTGCAGATATCTCCGGTACATTCCCACTTCCTTTAGGAGAACAACTAACCGTAGATCGCCTGGATGCCTCTGCGGTCGTCGTACGGGAGCTGGAAGTTTTCAGTCTCAAACCACTGGTAGAAGGGGGCCATGATGGCAGAGGGGTCGTTGGAGTGCTCCAGACCCAGAGCGTGACCCAGCTCATGGACCGCCACCAGGAAAACATCATTACCTTCAGAGAGAGAGAGATGGAAAGATGACAGTTAGTTTATTGGTTTTAATTTCTTCCAGGGTCTACATGTGACCGTCTGCTCTTCTCTCTCTTACCCCCCTGGTCTGGGCTCCCGGTGGTCCAGGGCTCAGCGAGGTCAAAGTGCGTGTCTCCGCCGATGCCGTGTCCGGGGAAGTACGCGTGAGCCAGGAAGCCGCCCTCGCCGTCAAATGGCGTGCTGTCGCCGTGGAAGCCCTCTGAGAAGGAGAGCATGATGTCTGCGAACTTGTCGACCTTGCCTCTGATGTGGCTGTAGGGGATCTCCCTGAAGGTGAGCGGGATCACGCTCTCCCACACCTTGAAGGCTCTTCTGATGGCTTCGTACGTGGCTTGTTCTCCGATCTTTGGGGTGTAGTTCTGTATGCTGAGAGAAAGGATGGAGAGACGCGGATTTAGGGCCGACGCACAGTAATACACTAAAGAGGAGCAAGTCAGCAAGTAGAGCCCCTTTCAAAACAAAAGCTACTTAGGGCTTCACAATAAAAGCCTGTCAACACGACTGTACGAGTGAATATCTTTAGGTTTTGGACTGGTGCGTTGACAAAAAAAAGCACTATGAATATTTGAAAATTAGTTGTGTATCATAACATGCATAATAAATCATGTTCACATGTGAGATTTCAGGAGCAAAAGCCAAAATATTGATCCGCGTAGGCATGTACCTGAATGTCACCTCTGACTTGTCCCACTTCAGACCCTGCACCGCGTATCTCTTCCTCCTCAGGTTAGTTTTCAGCTCCGGGCCGAACTTGTCTGGGACGCCACACCGCGGCCGGCTCATCGCCCTGGCCACAGCAAAATAAAGTTCCCAGTTCTTAACTGTGCAAAATATTCACACTCCACCGAAGGACACATTTATTGATACCTCGCTTTCTTAAATTATCAGGACTCACTCTATTGTGTTGGAGTCTATGGAGCCGGTGACAGCCAAACCGTAAAACCTCTGCATGGCTGATATCGCTGTTTCAATGGACTTTGGCGAGCGGAGGGCCTGGGCTCTGACATCACCTGGAGGCAGGTAGCCATACTGCTGCAGCCAACCCTACAAGAGAGAGAGACGATTATGAACGGACAGCACCAAAAGATAGGTTATTACAAACAAATTGCACCTCAGAAAGGTTAATCTCAGATTTTCACTCCATAAACTATATTACTACAGTGTACAATAAGAGCTTTTCACATATGGTATTACTGTAGTTTTTTTCAGTAGTGCTATCTCACTTTAAAGCAACAGTAAAACTCAGTATGTAGATTGTTGTAGTATTCCTGTTTTCCTTTAGAGTTTAAATAGTATTACTATTGTATATCATATATTGTTTCTATAGAACATTCCTATAGTAATACTATGATAACGTTATCGTCAATGTATTACTATTGTGTTTTTTGTGTTTCCGTGGTATTCCTATATTCAAATAGTACCACTGTAGTATCTTATATAGTCATTCTGGAGTTGTTTTGTGGGCGCACTATAAAACACTCCTGTAAAACACTCCTATAGTAATACTATGACTAAGTGAGATAAAGAAGTCTACAACACACCAATTATCCTTTATTTGCCGAATCAGGACTTTTGCAACACAAACGTGAGTTTCTCAATCTGCTCGTATTCAGACTTGCCAGAAACAACAAAAAAAACCACCTGAAAACATCTTAGTCGACAAAACAGAAGGGACTGGCCTCTTGTGTCAACCTGCGGGTGTTTGTCTACTTCCAGTCACTTTGGAGCTTGTTCAGACCTGCGTCTCAGATGCATCACACAGATTAAACGGTGAATAAGGGAGAGAAAGTGTGTGTGTGTTTTTTTAGTGTGACTTGTTAACATACAGCAGCCAACACACACTGAGGTAACTCAGCATGTTAAATTTATTTTCGTTTCTTCATGTGACTGTGACATTATCCCGTTTATGAACTCTTAAAACCCTCGCATGCCCCCTTGATGTATGCTGAACTCGTTGGGGGGAACTTTGTTGTGGGGTCATAAAGAGGAACGAGAGAGGAACTGAAAGCCAAATAAAACACACAATCTGAAAAAACACTGATGTCATTTCAGTTGCGGTCTAGACGATCGCAGCCAAAGACAACTGGCGGTCGTAACGCTGGAAAAAGTCACATTTTAAGCAACATTTGGGTTCCTCAAAGCTTGAGCTTAAGATCTCCCTGCCCCCTGTCTATGTCTGTCTTCCTCCTCCTCCTCCTCTCTCTCTGTCTGCCTTCAAGTCAACCAAAACCACCACTATTTATCTTTACACATGAAAGGCCCGCCTATTCTTTCCACTGCCTGCTGCTGGTGGTCTAAGACTTAAAGGAATAGTTCAACGATTTGGGAAATATTTGCTTTCTTTTCGAGAGTTAGATGAGAAGATTGATACCATTGTAAGTGTAGCTGGAGCTGGAGCTAAAGACTTCAGCATTAGTAGAGAAGAGCCATTAAGTTAATAAACTTATAATATCTATTGTACAACAACATCAACACGCTACTGAAAAACCTGAATGTATTGAGTTAAAGCGTGTGTTTTATTGCTTATAAATTCTACTTTTCATTCGTATAAAATATTTATTATTTCTTCTTTCAAAAGTCTCCTAGTCTTGCTTTAAATCTTACCAATTAACAGGTGTTGGTTTAATTAGTACAGAAAGGAAAGTGTCAAAATGAAGAGTTGGGGTTTTACAGTGGCAATTAAGCGTGACAGACCCAAATGCTTCACATTACTAGTGTGCTTTAGAGCTGCCGGTAGATATTTTAACCATTAGACAGATCCATGCTAGCCGTTTCCCTCCGTTTCCACTCTTTGTGCTAAGCTAAGCTAACCGGCTGTGAGTTTTCACTCCGTATTCAACGGACAAACCTAAAGAGTGGTGTCATTCTCCTCATCTCATGGCCACATTTTGTTGGAGTAATAGAAGCTTAAGTGCATCTTCAACTGTGTGTGTTTCCACTTATGTATCTGCACACACAGCGTTAACGCACATCTTTATCTCCACCACAGATTAGGTTTTGTGGAATTACCCCGGATTCCTTCGTTAGCGTCATCTCAACCTCAGATATCTCTCTTATTCCACCATTAGTGATGTTTTTGCTCTTCAAGCCTTCCTCCGACAAGTGAAGGGAAAAGCAAGAGGTGGGGGGGGGGGGGGGGGGGGGGGGGGGGGGGGATGGAAATGTAGGGACTGCATAGACAGGAGTACCTGGCCGTGTACTGCCTGGGCACACACACAGCTACTGTTAGTCATGTGCTGGGCAAAGAGGCCAGAGAACAAGGTTCACTTATGACGACCTGCAGAGAGACAACTTATCCCCCTTCTCTCCATCTCTGCATACCCCCCCCACCCCCACAATTTCTTCTGGATTATTTAAGCATTAATCTAATTTACCCTCCCGACTCTCTCTGAGTCAATCTGCCTGTAACACCAACCAAATTTACTCTCTCTGCCTCTCCGCTGACTGCTGCTAGTGTGTCCTGTGGCTCCAGTGTGGTGACGTGTCTGCTTCTATAAAAACACTCCCCTGAAAAGTCTCCCCCACACCGACAAGACCTCCACTTCTCTCCCCCTCGTCCCGAACTACTCCACACACAGCCACCACCACCTCCGGTTGAGACGCCAGGTATCCCAGCATGCACCTCTCCTCCCTGGAACTCCCAGCAGCCACCATCAAAGCTTCTATTTATTGAGACTTGTACATGGCTGGTATTGTTGGCCTCTGAGTAGCTAGGTAGCTCGCTACGCGGCCATGTGTGGTCAAAGAGCTGGCTGCTGGTTTGGTAAACACAGCCCTGAGTGTGTGTGTGTGTGTGTGTGTGTGTGTGTGTGTGTGTGTGTGTGTGTGTGTGTGTGTGTACAGTGACATGAGGTCTGATTGTATAATGCACAGACACTGAAACACAACCAGCGTGATGAAAAGTTGATGGAAGGTTGTTTCGGTGGATTGTGCAACCCAACTATGACCTTACTATGTTATACAGAGCTTACGCAATTACTTAAGTGTACAGAATTTGATCATCTATAATCATGAAGTCATTTTTTAAGCAAACATTCAACTGTTCCAGCTTCTTAAATGTGCGGATATGCTGCTTTTCCTCATCTTAAATTCTCTTTGGGTTTTGGACGGCTGGCTGGACACAATAGGCAACATAAATATGTCGCTTTTGGCTTCAAGGGAAATTCTGATGGCTGTTTGTCACCATTTACTTACATTCTATGAAACCAATCTAGAGATTATTACATAATGAAAATCATCAGCTTGCAGCTCTGAATTCTCAGTCTTCTCGTCTTCTCAAAAACAATCAGAATCTTGTGACATCTAAATCCTAAAAGCGTACTTCAACATGGCCGTATTAAGCTTGCAAGGGGCAACAATGAGCTGCTGGGCCCCCATTAATTACCCTCCATTCCTCCCAAACTCTGTGCAATCTGTGTAACCTTTCTAAGCTAGAACAGGACCCCATGGTTCTAGTTTGCTGAGGGGTAATTTGACTACAGGCGCTCTGGTCTGCTGAGTACCAGGTGTAAATTTTAACACAGATATCCTCTTCAATCTACAACCTCATGATAAACACAGCAGAACATACTTCAGTCGATTTCTGGATACAATCTTTTTAATTAATTAAGCACGAACTAGTTGAAACACAATCAACCTGGAGCGTTCAGGGCCCCTGCGACGTTTCCCAGTATGTTCTCCACAACACAAAAGCACTCAATCCAGAGAGTAAAAATTCCAAAAATATGACCGTGATGCCGGGAAGCATTGATGTGATGTCTCAATGTCCCGTCACCCATCACATGACATGTGGGTGCCACCTATTCTCACACACTCTTAGTCACATCCACATGAGACTTCGTTGTAATTTGTTTTCCGGATGCACTGTGAAAAAAAATCAAAAACAACAAGTTCCTACAAGAGTTATAAACAAAATTTTTAAAAATTTCTGAGGAAGTGAAACTGTCTGAACATTCATCACGTGGGCGCTTGTGTGCATTTATGCAAAATATACTGAAAGAAACTTTAAATAGAGATAAGGATGTGAGTTTGTGTATATTTAACCAGGTGTTCACTCAGTGCTGCAGAAAAGGCCGTCTTTCTGTGTATAGCATTGTTGCCAAGTGTCAAAACACTACTAACACACAAGTTAGTTGGATGCTTTATTTCCTGCCTTTAAAATCTCACCAGCAATGAAGAAAGAAAACGCACAGACAAGAAGGTAAAGGACAGAAGAAGATGATCTAAAGTGCAGAGTTACATTAGCGAAGGAGCGTTAAAGACATTAGAAGAGCGGTAAAAAAAGAACTGAGAAGAGAGAGAGAGAGAGAGAGAGAGAGAGAGAGAGAGAGAGAGAGAGAGGTTCGGCTGAATTTAAATTTGAGGGACTGAGTCAGTTGTTCCTCTCGCTCGGTGCCAACGGAAAAAACAGAGAATTCTGCTCATGAGTGGCTGAATCTCACATTGCCTTCAGTTCTTGGCGTCTCTGACCCAGTTAGCACTCACAGCAGCACCGCGCCATATCTTTTTTTCTGCATTTACATTTCTAGTGGGTCAAACAGGTCAATTAAAGTCACTTATTCTGCTTCGTGAAGCTGATGCAAGCCAACGGGTACTGGTACATGAATACGTTTTCTGTGGTGACAGTGATGCAACTGGAGTGGTAATTAACACAGACATTGCTTGTTTGGCAATGTTTACTAAAGTACTGCACATAAACACTATTTTGAGTGTACTTCTAGTTCTACTCAAAGGCATATATTGTACTTGTTACTGCACTGCATTTGACAGCTTTAGTTTTTTACAAACCAAATATAAAAGGAGCGTATAATATCTGATGAATCTTTATAGAATAAAATGTATTTATGAGTAAGTTACAACATTAAGATACAGGACACTTTAGCACTGATGGAGGAAGTATGTATGATTAATATTAATCATGCAATATCAAGTTTTGGTTCGTTTTAATGTTGCAGCTGGCCGCAAGTTGGAGCAACACCGAGGAAACAATAACTTGGACCATGTGACGAAAACTGTGCCGTCTCCATTACAACTGACTAAACTCCATCAGCTGATGAAGACTGTGCGATGAAGTCAAGGCTCCAAAAGCTAGTAAGTAGAGTTGAATTTGTAATGAAAGTGATCATGTAAATACAGGCTATAACAAGCTATACTTGGGTAGATTATGACAGTTTTATAAGATTAAATAATCAATTATGTTGTGCAGTAAAAAGTACAATATGTCCATGATGACATGTAGTGGAACAGAAGTATAAAGTAGCATGAAATGCTAAGAGAGAGCTCTCTACCTCAGGTGAGTGGCCAGCCTGTAAGCTGAATTTGATTGAGCACATCTGGCCTAAATGAAATTGAATCCAACCAGCTGAGCACCTAAGACTTGCATCTTCAGAACCTGCACTTCTAACATCTTGGTGGGAAACTTCCTCTCTTTGAACCAAACCCTACACCCAAGAAAATGGGTGTAGCTGCAAAGATAAGCTCCCTTTCTCCCTTGAAGTCCATCAGTGTCTCATTAAGGCCGATCCAGCTGATTATTTTGACATCTTTTAAGTGACAGCCATTGCCTGTCTCAAGCAAAACTTTTTCTTTTGATGCTACATCAACAGCCACTCTGGTATAGATAAAGAGAATTGAACCCAGATGTGTTTTGAGCGGATCACGAGACATGTGTCTCCAGATGGCGACGGGAAATCTCCAGAAGGTTTTTTCGCCAGATATGGAGAGATCCTGTTTTAGAACAGAAACTGTTGTTTTCATTGCTGCCCACTTCCTTTGCTCACCAGGTCTCACTGAGCTCCTCATTGAAGTAAAGAAAGGTTAGACAAGGCAAAAGCGGTGAATGAAAACAGATGCCCGGGGGCCGCAAAGGTGCTCCGCTTCACCAGAAGTCATTTTCAGAGAATAGTGGATGTGTTATTTCTCTTTTGGTGGAGCTGCTTCTCCTTTCACTCAGCGTGGATTAAGTGGGTTTACTTTGTCAGAGTGAAGTCAGCGAGGGATGTTCAGATGTTGAGCAGCGCTGATAAACCACAAAATTCCTCTAAACTCAAGTTTCTCTGTCGGACTTCTGCTTTCTCAACTCCCTGAATCCCTTCAACGGAGCGTCAACTAAACCTAAATTAAACATTTGTGTCACTCAGTTGTTGTTTTGTCTCAGTTTCTATTTGCTGCTTTCGCCACACACAGTCTATCTTTTAATCACAGGGTTCATAAACAGCATTTAGGTGATGTAATCCTGAACCCATAATTGATTCTTATCCTTTTTCAGCATGAGTGCTATGTCTGACAGCTTCGCAGCGCTGTGCACACAACATGTATCTGATTAAATCCTGCACTGTGGGGTCCTCATCATTTCAGCACTGAGGTGATAGATATTAGAGGTGTTATAAACAGCTGTAAACAGTCCGGTTTTCTCACGTTGTTTACAGACATTCATCACCGTGTCGGTGTGTTCGCCTGTGGCGTCTTATAAACCGTCTGACTCTCTGAGTTATCCACCACGTCTGGCTTGACTCACACGCCAGCAACTGTGTGGTCAGTGACTAAAGGCCCTCCTTCGCTCCTATGTGCATCCTGTCCATGCAGAACCACATCTATGACTCTTGTATATCTTAATTAAGTTGTAGGTGATGGACTTTTTGTGCTCCGTGAATCAATTTCCTGTGACAGCTGCCTTTTAGTGGTGCATCCTGTCTCCAAGAAACACCTTGTATGTGCAGTTCCCGGCAGTATGACTGAATACCGATGAGGCACTGTTTAAATACTAACATCAAACACACTTATGACCTCTGGGAGAACAAACGGAGTCAATGTAAAATGAGCGGAGACACGGAGGCGCCCAAGGGTGCTCGTAACCAATCATTTATGAAGCTGCATGCGACCTGGTGACAGAATATGTTGTTTAGTTGAAGGCTTAACTGCACTTTAGTGTCTCAAGGCCGGGGCTTCACAGCCTGAGGCCGTCAGTCTCCCTTGATGGAGCGACTCATGTCCGGCTTGTTGTGAATGCAGACCAGCTTCCCTGCAAGTCTCCTCAGGCAGATGAAAATCATTAACCCCCTCCCCCCGAACCACCACTACCCCCCTTTTTTTTCTCAGAACAAAGCAGCTCAGCTGAGGTTTCCAAACTGGGCACTGCCCCTGCATGGCTGGATCTCCTCCCTCACAAGCCACAAGAGTTTTGACTCATGACATTTTTCCTCTGGTTGAAGTTACATCTCGTGTTACAGATGGCGTCTTTTAACCAGCTCTTATTACAGAAAGATAAACGTCGGGAGTGTTTGAGGGAGGCAGAATAAACACGGGAACATAAACAGTTCCTCCCGGGCTGTTGCAAGATTAGGAAAAAAAAAAGCTATAAACATTGGAAAGACCCTACAGATATCAGTGATATCAGAAACTTTATTTTCCTGTAGTGATACAATAAGAGTTTTTAAAAAATCTGATAATTTTTTGGGGCTTTCTGCAGCAAAACACTTTATATCCCCCAGGATTATTGTCAAAATGTAAATTTTAAGTTGTTTACACATACCAGCTCATATGACAAACTTCCAAACCTAATGTGGATCACTTTGCATTGTTTAAAGGGCATACATTATGATTTTCCATCAGACTTACCTCAGCTTTTAGTATATTCGCAGTGACCGAGGTAAAACCAAAGCAGCAGAGACCACAGGCCAGGGTGAGGATCTGGGGCAGCATTCTTCTATCTGCAAACTGCCCCGAAAAAAAACGTTCAGAAAAAACTATTTACTACACAAGTCCCGCCGTCCTGACAGCAGACAACGAAAAATAAAAATGATACAAAATCGATCGATGCTACTCCGTTGTGCTTTTTAAAACATGGCATGAAACTCCACATGGACACTTGGAGCGCACTGGACAGGTTTTCTGCACAAAATCGACTCCCCTTAAAGTCAGAGCTGAGCTGAAAACAATCAACAAAATGCCAAAAATCGACAAGTATCGGTGACAAACGCTCAGCTGGTGTCCGCTAAAGCTTCATAGTTTGGCTTCCTGTCCTCTGGAAGGATTGTCTGGAGCGCGTGTGGACGTGGTCACGAGAGCGAGAAAGAGGGAGAGAGAGAGAGAGAGAGAGAGAGATGGATTTTCCTCTGGGTCCTCCTCCAGATGTGCAGACGTCATTTCTTTTTCATGGCTGACCAGGTTTATCAGTGTACCAATTATTGACGCTGAGACAGATGCCAATCTGAAGAGACTCAACGACACGAAAGGCAGATTTGAATATTTTTTAATTTGTGTGATTTGGCACAGAAATTGACATTGCTTCACTTGTTTTAAATTATTATTATTTTTAGCCTAAAAGACACATTTTCTGCATTCAACTAAGTAAAAGCCATATCCATCTTTACTCTAAATGTCAATAAGACATTTCAATACTCAATTTATAAAGCAAGAGACATTGCTACCCGTTTCTTTGAAAAGTAAATTAGCAACATTCATGTATCAATCAGAAAGAGATCGCTGCACAATAGATATTATAATAAGCAGAAGACATCTTGCATACAGCAGCTGACGTTTTTTAAAATGGAAAAATATTTGCACAATCATCTGGATTTTTCATTCAGGGAGGAGGAGAAGGTCGAGGTGTAATTTTAGGAATTTTCAGTGAGGTAATTAAACATTTTTAATGGAAAAAACATCAGCCCGGCATTCATATTCAAAGCAGGATAGCGGTGTTAAGTATTGATACTCTTTATGAATGTGCTTAAGTAAAGTACATGTATACTCATGATAGCATATATCATAAAACATGTCTGGATGAAATGTCTGATGACATGTCTTTATGTAAAGGATTTATGTTTTCTTCCAATGCTGAAATTCAGTGGATTAGAATGATAAATTAGCATAAAATTAAAATAAATGTAGGTTCCTACCACATTTTTGTGAATTAAAACTAATGTTGTATATTTGTACTAACCGATACTGACACCTTGTGTTTAGAAATAAACATTTCACACTAACATTATCCGCCCTTTCAGAATATAAAAAATATGAATGTACAGTATTGTGACTGACGCATGTACTCAGTATAAAACGTTTAATTTGCACAGAAATGTTAAGTTTTATGAACGAAAAACAACAACAATTAAGCCCCGCCCCCCCCCCCCCGCCCCCCTTGTCACGGGCTAAAATATACGGAAGTAGATCAGAACTTGTCAACAAGAAAGGCCGACTGACATGGTGACGTACTGGGCTCTTGTCCCCTTTTTTAAAAATATTTTTTATTATGTTTTTGCCGCTTCTGACCTACATGTTGTGATATTTTCGGGTACTAAAACACTCCGTGTCGTGCTCGGAGACATTTTCTCGTAGTGTCTCCGTCTATAAAAAAGCGTTTTATACGAAAACAAAAGTGAGGATGTTAGCATTAGCAGCTAGCTCGCTTGGAGGCTAGCTAGCGATTCAAGCTCTCGTGACTCAAACCGAAACTATCTCGTAACGTTTTCTCGGGACGTTGTCTAAACTTAGAGGGAACTACACGAGGCGTTACGGCTGTTTCATAGTTTTACTTTACTGGGAATAACAGGCAGACTTTGAAACTATTTGTGTGGCGACGATTTCGTCTCGGAAATGGTTCCTGGCGTCATTGTTGAGAAGATTATGGGAAGGAAGTGTGTGTGTGTGTGTGTGTGTGTGTGTGTGTGTGTGTGTGTGTGTGTGTGTGTGTGTGTGTGAGAGAGAGAACACAATGTCCAATAACTTCAAGAGGCACCGCTAACAACACAATGTCCAATAACTTCAAGAGGCACCGCTAACGATACCCATAACAGTAATGTATTGTTTTGGGATATTACTGTACATACCAATACTCACATTTTTGGGGCCAGAGATATTGCCCTGAAGTAAAGTACCTCGGTTTTTTGACTAAATTAGTCACAGTTATATTTATTAATCTAGTAAATATGTTTAAAGCAGGAGCACTTTAGCAGATTAATCCCAAAAAAATTGGCTGAAACAGAGTGCCACACAAATGGATGGTTAAAAATCCAAGTATATTTAATTTAGAAACATGGAAGACAAAGAAATTATGACTTAAATTACTAATCTATTGTCATGATCGTTCACAGGGGAGTAATAACATCATGAGTCTGTTTTATGGTTGACAAACAGGTCTAACTTTTTCTTCTTTCACTTTACAGATGAAGTCTTGCTGAACAAACCTCCCAAAAATGGCACTTCTCTGACGTTTGTTTACCCTTTTTAAGTCTTCAGTTTTTACATTTTAGAGGCGAAGCATTAACCACGATGACAGTCATGTACGGCATCCGTGCCCTCCTAGTTTTCACCATAACAGGTGAGTGAACTCATCAGTGTGTTTTGACTGTGCATCTACCTGAGGTGCCTACTTTAAATGTGTATCAGGCAAAGGTCGTGTTTGCATGTCTCGTATCGCACAACGTTTACGATCTGTGATAAAACACAGAGCCTGACGTGTTCTGCTTTTTGCTTATTTCCTCCGCAGCGTGCAGCCGGTTTGAGCCGGCCCTCTGCTCCAGTAAGGAAACAAACTAATCAGCACTGTATCTCATGTTATGGAAGGCTTATTCAAGGTTTCTTAACCTTTTTTGCTCTTCTGTGTCGCAGCTCGCTGTGGGCATTCCCTCCAGGTCTTGGACAACAAAGTGGGGGAGATCAGGAGTTCTGCTTACCGCAGCTGGTCCTACCACTTCGGCTCTACCTGTGACGGCTGGATCATCAAGGGTTCGGAAGAAGAACCCATCGTTCTCAGGTAAAGGCACTTTCTGTAATATTAACATGAGATGTGCTGAACATAGACACCATAGAAAAGAGGGATTCACAGTTGTCTAATTTTGTAATTTTATGCAAGTGAGATTAAGTCTTCACCGATCATTAATCCAAATCCCTTTCTCAGCTTTTCACAGTTTTCAGCACCGTGTAGTAGGAAGGAGTGGGTGTCTATAAAATCCTCAGCTGGCAGTGAGCCGGTTGTCCTCTGTGGCTCCAAGTTGCCGCAACCAATGGAGTTCCCAGGGGGAAATATTACAGTGATGCACCACTTCTTCCCACATCAGTTCCCCGTGTCGTCTTTTCTGTTGAGCTACGCCAGAGGTACGATGGCAATGCGTTTGTTTTTTCTTAAACATCTTTAGTCAAAGTGCTGGCCCCTTAAATCAAGGTGTACCATGTAGTAATATATCTTAATTGCTCTGTTACCATCTTTTTATACCCTTCTGTTTCTACACATCCAGACTCTGGCGAATGCCCAGTAACATCCTTTGAGTGCCGGCGGGGGCGCTGCCTTCCTTTCTCTTGGCGCTGTAACGGTCGGGTGGAGTGCCTCGGCGAAGGTGCGGGCCTCGGCTCCGATGAACAGGGCTGTGATGAAGAAGAAGAAGCGGAGACCCCTGAACCCCCAAAGTACGCCATCTCACCGGCAGAAGAAGCCAAGGCAGAGGCGTCCTCGGAGAAGAACTACGATCGGGACTCTGAGAGACATTACATGATCGATTCTGAAGCTGATATTTGGGCGCGAATGAAGGAGAAGGTTGACGAGGAGAAGCAGGTAGATCGAGAGCAGCCTCAGACTCCCAGGCAGCTCGTAGTGACGCCCACCCCCATCGAGTGGCCCTGCGGAGGCCTCCTCCAGACCTTCTACGGGACCTTCTCCCCTCCAACCATCCGGGGCCCCGCGCTGTTCTGTGTCTGGACGCTGGACCCTCAGGACTCGAGGCCACTGAGACTGGACCTGCAGCAGCTGGTGCTGGGACCCGGGGACAGACTCTCCGTGTACAACAGAGAGCAAGGCAAAGGAGACGTCATCAAAATTGTGAGTTATTTTAAACTAAGAAATGTATCCAAACCCTTTTTAAAAGAGCTTTTGGTAACACTATGTTCCCTTCCTGCATCTTGACAGATCACCAGCGCCTCCAATTACAAATCGATCCAAGTCGAGTCCCACAGCGGCCTGCTGTCGATGACATACGAGACTCTTCCCGGCTCAGAGGGAAACGGCTTCAACGCAACGTTCCACGTCGGGACCTACTGCCCCCCTTGGGAGGGCCGCTGTGGGGGATCGGCGGGGGGGTGCTTCACCCAGGAGCAACGCTGCGATGGGAAATGGGACTGTCCCGAGACGGGGAAGGACGAGCAGGGCTGCAGGGGCTGCGGTTTGAACCAGTTTGCCTGCGGAGTGGCGGGGCAGAGAGCGGTGCCGTCCAGCCACTTCGCCGGCAGACCAGTGTGCTACCCGGTCACGGAGCGGTGCAACTACCAGCTGTACTGCGCCGATGGCAGCGACGAGAGGGACTGCACCATGTGTCAGCCGGGGACCTTTCACTGTGACAGCGACAGGTTAGTGTGTGTGACAGACTGAAAAGATGTTCATCCTGACAGATTTATCACCGTCTCACAGTCTTCATCAGGAGATTGAGTTTGCTCATTTGTAACTGTAGATGTTGATGAGGCTTATTCTCGAAGCAGCTGCTGACAAAACAGTCTCTCCTTAAGCTGTTCAGCTGTAATTGTTGGTTGTTTTATAGATTGTTTTGTCAAATGAACTACAATGGTTTGTGTCTTCACTGTTCGGTTAGTTACGTATCAGTGCTGCTAGGTGTGTCTCGGTTATAACGCAAGTGTGTGAGTCAGAGGGTGTGTGAAAATGTGACACTAATTGATTTTTCTTGAGTATGAAACCTAAACTCTGTGTAATGAGAGAAAAATAAATACTTTCTCATATTCAGTCATGTTAAATTTTCCCATAATAAGCACAATATATAATAGAAACTATGATAGACATATTTTCAGCAACAATATTTGAGTAAAATTGGTTTTCAACTCCTTCAGTAGCTTATAAATTGATTCTTACATCACATATTTTCACACAGCCTCAAACACTGTTACAGTCTCTAATCATGTGCCATCATACGACTGCTTTACAATCATGTGGTTTTATGATACCGCGCCTCAGGATGAGACTTCGCGTGGAACCGAGTCTCTCGCTCAAGTGATTCCTCGACACTCTTTTTAACACACAAAGGGCCCATTGTTCCCGTCCGCAGGTGCGTGTTTGAGAGCTGGCGCTGCGACGGCCAGGTGGACTGTAAGGACGGGACGGACGAGCTCAACTGCACCGTCATCCTGCCGCGCAAGGTCATCACCGCCGCCACGGTGGGCAGCCTCGTCTGCGGGCTTCTGCTGGTTATCGCCATGGGCTGCACCTGTAAGCTGTACTCGCTCAGGACCAGGGAGTACAGGTAACTGCTTTGAGTGCCACTTCTACTGTGTCGTACTTTTTAATTTCAGAAAATGTGCTGACAGAAGAAAGTAAAGCGTGTGTGTGTGTTAACGTGTCTGTCTGTTTGTGTCTTGCAGCTTGTTTTCACCAATCAGCCGCCAGGAAGCAGAGCTGATCCAGCAGCAGGCTCCGCCCTCCTACGGTCAGCTGATCGCACAGGGCATCATCCCGCCAGTGGAGGACTTCCCCACAGAAAACCCCAATGAGGTGAGGGAGACAACGGGCACCAAACGGCATGCTGGGATGCACCGTGTTGGAAGTCGTTCACTGCTATCTGATGATCAATAAATCCATCCAGTGGATGATTAAAGAGCTCCTGACTTTGTCTGGACTACAGCGTCCCATCAAACGCTACAGCTCGTTTTGGCGTATTTTTTTTTTTCTATTTACATACTTCTATGAAATTATTATCTGCGTGAGTGACGGAGGATATTTGTTGATGGTTACTACCAAAGCTCCTGAGACACAAGACACAGGGTGAGACTAATCTATTGGCAGCTTACTGTAAAATCCTACTACCTGGATTTAAGGCCATAGTAAACACCTCCCCCAGAGTTGTAAAGGACCATAACGAATGCTTTATAGAGGATAGTATGAAAACTGTCCTATAAACTGAAAGTAGAGCGCATTGACAATACATTCATGTGGAAAGAGGCTACAATGCTTTGTTGAGCAGAGCACACTGTAATCTATAGCAGCTCTTGTTTTATCTCTCTTTACGTCACGTGATCCACTTTATCAGCTGTGATTAATCCCCAGCAGGCTGCGGGCTGAAGTGGAAAGAGTGTTAAGATGTGCTGTTGCCATGCAGGGTCACTCTGCGGAGCTTTGTTATTAGTTGGTGATTGGTAGGGTATCGAGCTTGAGTTGTAGAGGGTGTTTTAACTGCTCTTTTCCACTTACTTACTTTACATCTTCCTCCTTCTCAGACTTCGTCTCTTTCTCTGAGGGGAATTCTCCAGCTCCTCCGTCAGGACGCCGCCAACTCCCCACACCGCAGACGCAGGCCCCGATTCATCCGCCGGGCCGTTCGCCGCATGAGGAGGTGGGGCCTGATCCCCAGACCTCCGTCCCGGCCGAGTCAGACGTCAAGCTCCGGCCAGCAGCAGTCGGATGCCGCTCCCTCCGGACAGGAACCGGCTCACTCCAGCTCCTCGTCAGCCGTGCAGGCCGTCAACCAGCCGGTGCCTCAGAAACTTGGCTTGTTGGGTCAGTCGGAGCAGCAGCAGCAGCAGCAGCAGCAGGAAGCACCGCCTCTTCTCCCGCCGCTGTCGCCTGCCGCTTCCCCTCCTCCACCTCCGTACGCGCCCCCAGCTCCAAGCCCGGTCACCCCCCACACTCCTTCCGTCGCCGTGCCCCCAAGCAGCCCCTCTCTGGCCTCCATCTTCCACACGCTGGGCCTGAGCATCTCCCTCTTCAGAGCCTCGCCCTCGGCCTTCTCCGCCAACTCCATGCCCCTCTCCGCCTCCCCTTCGTTCTCCTCGTCCTCTTCAGACGACGAGGTGCTGCTTATCCCGCTGTCTGAAGACACCACTTCAGAGGACGACGTGCCCATGCTCACCTGAATGACTTCCTCACCCGTCCAGTGACCCCCACACGCCCCTCCTTTTTTATCTCCCTCACTCACTGATACAAACTGAAACCCAGTCTTTCCACATTTGTTTGAACTGAAGCACAGGAGACTCGCCCGCACTGTGTAAGTCTGGTGCCTTTTTGAAATAGCTTTGAGTTGGATTTGTTGACTTACGGAAACAAGTATTTTACTTTTTAAAGACCTCCTCGAGATATCAGTTTTAGACGAAAAGCATGGCTGTATGTTTGAGAGGAAGTGTAGGCGGGTGCTGGATGTGCACTCGCTTCATGCTCGGCTGCACATTGAAGGTAAACTTTTGCACAGATCTTCCCTATCCAGAAAACTGAGGCAGGCTGCTGTCCGATTGAATGGTTCGATGGAAAGTATTGCGTTTGTATGGCTGCAACTGTGTGAATGCATATGCGTTTTTAGTCTTACATTAACAGTGGGGTATGTCCGTAGATTGTCTCTGCATACTTCTGCCACTCGCATCCAGTCTCGTGTTTTTCTCACAGATGATCTTAATCAGAAGATAATTCATCTCCCCTATTTAAGTGCCTTTTTGAGGAGTTTCCCGTCGACACACCGCAAAACCAAAACACACGGAGGCACATGTTTCTCTCACGGCACGCTTCGACACATCAGTGGCTTTATTATAACGTGAATAAAAATAACAATGCATGTACTCTGCAAGCTGGCAATAATGTTTTGGGACCCGTATTTTAGTGCACACTGATTGCGACATACAGTAACTGTGTTCCGAGTGCACACACACACACACACACTTAAGTGAATGTATGTAATCTACAGAAGCAAATGTGTCAAAAGACAATCTCTTCGGTGCCTGATTTTAGTGTGTGTGTGTGTGTGTGTGTATGTGTGTGTGTGTATGTCTCTAGTGTCGATGAGGCGCCCTCGTGATGAATTCACTAAATAACTTGAAGCTTCAACCCTTGATCGTGACAGAATGCGATCGGGAACCGATCGCATTCTGTCACATTTTGACACAACAGACTTGTGGTGTGCCATTTGTATTGTACATTTTATGGTGTTTTTATTTCAGCAAGTTACTTTTTTTTTTTCCTCTTAAGTTTTTTTGCTTTGTTGAATGTATTTGGGTCGATGTCGGAAGTTTTAAATTCGCAATTTAATGAGGTTAAATAAGAGAGAAAGTGATTTTATGGTTTGTTAGGGTCAACTTCACTGTATATAAGTAAGAAATGTGGCTGAGATTAAAACGATTTGCACTTTTAGGTGTTGGGTATTGTGTGTTTTTGTGTGTCGTGTGGGTGGAAACACACCTGACACCTTAACAGGGATGCCAGAGCTGTTGCATTGTGCTTTGTATTCAAAAGTCCCGTAGACATTCACAGACTCCTAACAGGGTGGTTCAGTGGTTGTTCTGGAAGAAAAGCAGATCATCGCTGCCTGTGTTCAGGATAAAAGGTGAATGCAGAGAAAATGAAGCTGTTTGCCATCGAGGATTGAGACTACACGTGGTCATGAGAAGGTAATCATAATGAATACTTTTGGTTTAATTCATTAATGCTGCAGGAAAGTGATTGTTGGAGCTGAAATCTGTTCTATATTTAACAGCTGCTCTAGCAGACACACGTCCTTATTCCTCATAGCAGAGCTTTACGCCTCATATAAATGTGACTGATACAACGACCTGAAAGATTATGATGGTTTGAGATGTGTTTTCATATTTGTGGAAAACAGGCATCTGACTGTTTGAGTCCACAACATTACATCTACCTTTTTTAAATTACCTCATTGGCTGTACAGCATATCATTTATTTGTATCTCACTAATGCGTCATTAGGACCAACGCTTAATATTTACAATGTCAAGTACAACCGGCGAAGGCCATGATACAAGTAAGCTAAACAAACTGTTGATGTGTGACTTTAAAATAAGAACTTTAACTTAATCGATATGAAATGAATATAGCATTTAGTTTATTTTCTGTTGTGCTTGAAAAGTCATCTTTGCATTCAGTGGTTTGACATTACGTACAACACAAGCGCATAATTATGGACAGAATTGTAGAAATACTGAGGTCATAAGTTCCACCTAACCCTAATATTTTTATTACATCTATGCATGTTTTATTTGCCAACATGAGACCATCTATCCAAATAGGCTCCCATGAGCTGCAGCTTAGCAAAGCTCCTCGTCTATAATGTCAAACAACTACTAATCATCCTCGCTGTGACCCTGAAATAGGTCACAGCTATAATTATGGTTTTACCTCCATCCCAGCGGCTCTGGGTGGGGATGTTGGTGGTAATGGTGGAGCTCACTGGAGCCCTGCAGAAGTGCATTTTCGACGAGGTTCAGGCCCAGGCCAGGGTGGTCCGAGCTGCACCCCTCCACCCAGACAGCCCACCCACCGAGCCCAGACTCGGAGCCCAGGACGGGCAAGAGCCCCCGCTAAGCTCTGGGCGGCAAACCAATCATCCGGGACCCGAGGCATCACCTCTGTGTGGCCTATCGGTGACACAGGGGAGACGCCTGATAACGATGGCACCGCCCACTCCAGCCTCTCAGCAGCCAATCAGGATCCAGATCTGGATCCCAGTGGAGAGCAACGGCCTATCAGAGGCTGAGAAAGCGAGGCTGGAGGCAGCGGTGGAGGAGGCTGTGAGGATGGTGTCTTCGTCACTTTCAGGTGAAACATACACACTTACCTGTGTCACTTTTGGGGACATTACTTGCATTCATTTCCTGGAGACGTATACTTACTTTAGCCATAACTACTGCTTCCCAACCTTAACTACTGACCCTGATATCAGCTGTTTTTCCAAGTGGGGAAATTGCTTTTGTCCCTAATTGGACAAGCTGTCCCCAATTAACTGGTCCTTAGTCTGAAATGTGTCCCTGAAGGTGAACAAACACACACACAAACGGGCTAACATGTACGATCATAACCTGTTGACCTTTCTATAGTGAACAGAGGGCTGGGTCCATTGCTGCTCAGCAGAGACATCAATAAATACTGCAAGTTTCTGTGGAAGAATTCAAGTACTGCCAACTACAACAGGTGTGTGTGTGTGTGTGTGTGTGTGTGTGTGTGTGTGTGTGTGTGTGGTATGCGCTTTTAGCCAGATGTGAATCTTCTCTCGCTTTAAGACTATCTTGGTTCTACTGATCACTTTAAACAGGTTTGTGTGTTTTTATTTTCCTGATGATATATTTTCCAGTTTATCCAAAGAAACTAAAATGATCACATTGTCGTATCAGATTTTAGAGAGTTATGTAAACTTCACTTTATGACCACTTGAAAGTCATCAGAATTAAAAGAAGTAAAATTAATAAACACAAATATCAGCATTAAAATGTTTGCTAAAATACATGTTGAATGCAGGTAGTTTATTTAAAGAAGGACAGACAGTTTTACAGTTTTCTTCTTTCAGATGTGGTCGAGCCAACAACAACTACAGAGCTGAGACCTGTCTGGATGTGACAGTAAGTATCAGTCCACTGATTTTCTTACTGTATTCATGTACACAGCACGTACCTGCACACACTTAAAATCCAGTCGAGCTTTGTTTTACCGTCTCTCTTATCAACAGATCCCAGATGATCATCTCGCTGGATGTGATGTTTACCCGGAAGCTGATTCCCCTCGAAGGACTGAGCTGCGTCCTGAAGGTGCTGGACTCCCCGACACCGACTTCCTGCTGTACCTCCACGTTCAGGCCACTGACAAGTGCAGAGCAGAGGTGAAGAAGACTTTAATGACAACATATCTAAGACATGGTTAAAGGTGGACACTTCAATTAATTACAATATATAATTATATCTTTAAAAAATAAAGATACAAATGAGATAACTGACTTTACTTTACTGTGTTATGAGCGTAATAATTCTTTGTCTTCATTTTCCTCACATCTTAAACACTCACTGCTTATATGTTTGTACCTTGTCTCATATGTCCTGTTCACCTCTCAGCCTCACGTGTCGGCCTACGCTGTCCACTGTCAGACGGACCCCTGTGGCCGACCCTTAGCCGGGGTGGTGGTCATCTGCAGGGACAGACTGACAGAAGCCACATACAGCCACCAGGCGACTGTACAGGTATGTCTTTAATATTATTGTTCATGATACTTTTTAAATTGTCTGTTGATGTGCTGGATTGTCATCTGTTTTCCAGACTGTGATCCATGAGCTGTTTCATGCACTTGGTTTCTCTAAAGAGCTCTTCAACACCTGGAGAGACTGCTCCTCCACTTCTCAAGGTTTTTAGACACATTCTGATGTTTTTATAATAATAACTTTATGAAAAGCAAAGATGCATTAATGATCATATGCACTGGTTAGAAGATGGTTCTTCTCACGTGTTTTTCTTTGTGATGCAGTTGGTGCTGGCTGTTCTCCTCGAGGCAGAGTGACTCACTCTGATGCATCGGGCCAGATGAGGATTTATACCCCGTCTGTTATCTCGGCCCTGCGGAGGCACCTGGGGTCCACTGACCCTGAGCTGGGGGGGCCGCTGGAGAACCTGGTACTGAGCTTCTCCAAACAGATCCATCGTGTGCTCTGCTTACGTGTTTTACACTTCTTTCCTTCCTTCAGGATGTTCCTCCAGGCAGAGTGTCCTCTCACTGGGAGTCCCGGGTCCTGCAGGGCTCCGTCATGGCCGCGCTGCTGGGGGACCCCACCACAGTCCGGATCGACCCGGTCACCTTGGCTGCACTGCAGGATACAGGCTGGTACAGTGTAGACCTGAGCCGGGCACAGAGTCTAATCTGGGGAGACGGTGAGGAAAGATAGAGATATTAAATGTAATCATGTAAATACATCTGCAAGAGCATTATCATGATTACAAAAATCCTGACTCAGTGTTTTAAGATTGTTTGCAGGAGAGAACAAATAGATAAATGTGTTTTTATAGGTGAAGGAGCCATGTTTGGTTCCCTGTCAGCCTGTCGGAACAAGTCCTCGTCCTTTTTCTGCACTGGCAGGTAAATTTATAAATATATACACTACAATGTATGTTTGTTTTTTTTAAAGTAGAATGTGGGTCACTTTCATCCTTCATTTCCTGCACTAATGTTTGCATTATTCCCTCTTCTCAGTGGGTTTGGGTGTCATTATCTTCACCTCCACAAGGGGGAGTGCCAGACTGATCCACACCTGGAGGGCTGTCGAGTGTATAAACCCCTTCAGAATGGAGTAAGTTTTATTTCCTCTCATGGGGTTATCTTCACCAAACTATATCCTTCAGATTGTAAAATAAATACATGATTTCTTACTCATTTTGCTTAACCAGAAGTCTTTTACTTGATCTCAAAATGTCCAAAATGATCAACATTCTTCACACCCTTGGTCTGAACTCAATTCTGCAGAGCAGGAATATGGGGTCGTTTCTATTTCTTGTGCCTTTTAATTGCAATCTACTGTATTTTATTGCCATTTCAGCACTGCATTACATTTTCACTGTTTTTCCTCCTCTCGTTCTTCAGAGTGAATGTTGGAAAGAGGAAAATGGCAGAGAAGAGGATTGGAGCGAGGAGGTCTTCGGTTTTCACAGCCGTTGCTTCTTCTCCAGCCTGACCAGACAGGTGTGTGTGTGTGTGTGTGTGTGTGTGTGTGCGCGTGTGTGAATGTATGCTCAACGGTTTCCATTGTAGAACATTCATTTCTTCCTTCTACACCTGTCTTTCTTTTAGAACCGGAGTCAGCTTCTTTTACCCAGCAGCTCTGTGGAGGGACGTTGTTACAGACACAGGTGTACTGGACCGAACAGGTACCAAATCCAGGTGTCAGGCTCTGAGTGGGTGGACTGTCCAGCAGGAGGCACCATTCAGGTAACATGACACAACCCTCAATGTAACTAAATCAATGGAGTTGTTTACTGCTACTGTTCATTATAAGCACTCTGTGGGAGGGATTTGAAAGTATGCTTTCCTATTTGCTGTTATTACTGGATCCCCAGTTATTATTTGAACTTTATTATTTGATGTGTTCTGTCTTTGCTGGTTTTAACCGTCAGATAAAAGGGTACCAGGGTTTAGTCCACTGCCCTGACCGGAGGTTATGTCTGTACGCTGACGTTACTCCTCCTCCAGACGATGTCGGTACATTTCCTGCTTCTATCACAAGGCAAGTACGACTCTAAAACGAGCACCCTCTTTCTTTATAGCAACCTTGTAACTGACACTTACTTTACTTCATTGCTTCTTGGTCAGTGAGGCTTTAACTTCGGCCCAGAACGGGACCCGGCCGCCCCTCAGACATCCTGCAGAGCTCACTGCAGCCTCGGCGCTCGGCATCACTGCTGCCGTGTGTCTCCTGGCTGCAGCCGTGGTGTCCTACAGGAAATGTGGCCTCTGCAGGGTCAGGGTCCACTCTGCCCCACAGGATCCCACTGATCCGTAGCGAACACCTAAAAACCTTTGAATATAAACTGATGGCTTGTTTTGTTTTTTCCCTGACTAAATGATCATTTTAATGGGAGGGAGGAATAATTAATTCAATCTTTTTTATTTTTATTAAACAGCAAAGTCATGAACAGTTGAACTTCTACAAAACATAATGTTAATAAGTGACACTAAAAAAGAGTAATGACAAAACATGGCAAAAAAACATTAACAGAATGAATAGTGACGCTGAGGTAAAGATTACAGGTGTCCCTTGATCATCAACATGTGTCCACATGGTTCAGTACATCGCGTACAAAGGGTTTTCATTATCACCGTGAGAGCCAACTTTCTGGCTGAACCAGTGATCAGTGCTGACATAAATCCTCCCTAGCTGTATATTATTGACAATACAACAATAAGGATCGCAACTAACACACAAGCGATAAGGATGAGTGAAATCCAAAGGGGAGTCATCTTGCAAGTTGGACTCTTGGAGAGTTTCTGAGAACTCTCATCTGGTGGGAAAGTCAGACAGAAATGAATTATCAGGCTCTTTAATTAAAATGCATTAAAATAAAAAGTTTTGTCTCCTCACCTTTTTCTATCTCTACTGATGTGCTGTCAGGGGGTCGACTGGAGTGGCTCGTGTTTAGTGTTGGAGGAGGGATTTGGTTTGTGTCGTCATGTTTTGCTGCGGCTTTAGAGTGGAAATAAATATATGAATCAATTATCTGCTGATATTACGGACACTAATGATTCCTGGATGGTTTTAGGTGATCTTACCTCTGTACATCAGCAGATAGGCAGTGCTGGAACTGTCCAACGACCATTTTGAAATAATTGTTTGCATAGAACAATAAAAGAAAAGTTTAGAACATACAGTAAACGTTTCCAGATAGATATTATAATATATCTCGGGTCCATTTTGGAGCAGTTCTGAAGCTTTAGATCATTTTACATGAATTTGTTTGTGGCATTTTATGGCAGAAGTCCTTTTTAAGTGCTTCATCTGCTGATGAAGATTGTGTGATACGATCAAAAGCTCCGGCACAGCTACGAAATGGACCTTTTTCAGCTCTGTCAGACGTGATGAAATGGAAATAATTGAGCATACTTGTAAGTCCTGGTTTCTGCAAATAGTTGCTCTTTAACCTGCATCATTTGGGGATGCAGGTTAAAGAGGTTAAAGGGGATGCAGGTTTGGGGAAGAAAACAAAAAAAACATTTATCTTTTGTATTTTTTGAATATTTGTCATACTGGCTGCATTAAATGAATCCTCACCTTGGAGACGTGAGTGTCATCAAACTCGTACCAGGTTCTGTCCTCATTGGACAGGATGGTGGCCGTGTAATGTCCACCTCTTACACTGCCAATGTGATTCACCACCGCATACAGTTCATAGTTCATGTCCTACAAAAACATTGTATGTGAAACTATTTTTAAAGCAAACGTAAAGAGCACCATTAATTCTCCTTACCTTTGTCTCTAATTCACGTGGCACATGCACACGGCGGTTTGTTTTGGAATGTGTCCTGGTGGTGTTGTCAAAGTCAAATTTCTTGAGAAGGAGAGTCAAAATCTGAGGAAATACCACCATCTCACACCTCTAAATGATACAAGAAAGATTATTAAACACCACAGACAATATAATAAACAGTGTTCATCTGATTCCAGGCTACATGAGGTGTTTGTTAGCTCACGCTGGTCGCCTCTGTTGTCTCTTCACACTCGTTGCAGTACACTCCATTGTGTGGTTTCGACTGGAAAATCCTTTCAAAGCCGCTTTCCTGTAAAAACACAAATGTTGTAATGAATTCCATATTGGATTACCAATCTCACGTTATCATAATAAAACTACAGTTTGATTTCTTTATTCAACAGCAGTGTGTTTGGAACAGGATGCTCACCACGCTGTAGGATGAGTCATGAGTGTCATTCAGTGACAGTGGAAGAGTCCAGAACTCATTTGTCTCTTCAATGATTATGTGGCCTTTGGAGCATTTTGTTGTGTGTCTCAGCGCTCCTTGGAAAACCTTGAAATCAAAAATAAAACATCTATCACAGCTTTCTTATTAGTTCACCTGTAAATGCGTGTAGAGATTTCATCAGCGCTCACCTCAGAGGCCTGTGGGCTGATCTTACGTAAAATCATCTCCAGGCATTCAGCTGCATCCCGTTGTTCACCAACTGAAAAAGCAAACATAAATACCACTCTCGTATTCATTTCATCTTTGATTTATAACTGATAATCAGGTTTTATTTCAGTCCATCTTACCATTTAGGATCCCGAATGCTGCTGTGATCGTTTCTGTCCTACATGTTGCTTCCTTCAGGCCTTCAAAGATTTTTCTCAGCTGAAGATCCGTTTGTTTGGCTCTTGGATCGCGTATATCACAGCTTTCTGATGTACTGTTATTGTTAGCTGGTAGATTGTAGGAAGGATTTCATGAGTGCTCACCTTAGAGGCTTGTCGGCTGATTTTTAAATATAATCAACTCCTAACACCAAAGCATTACACTGAATCTCCAGCTGTGACTTTCCTTTTAATGCTTTTCTCATGACGGACCAACTCACCGTTCTCTATCGCCAAACTCTTGCCGGTGTTTTTTGTTTTACATGTTTTCTTCAGTTTTTTAAAGACGACTATCAGCTCTTGATCTGTGGTTTGTGATTTTGGCTCCAGCCTGTAGGAAGAGGTGAGTTCATTGATGACTATTTCAGTCTGTCTTGAACTTAACATCATCACTGATTCATGGTACTGTTGAGAAATTCAAAATGTAACTACTTTCATCTCGTCCCTAACCAGCACCAGATGCATCACTCTAAACAACGATGGTCCCTGTTGATACTTCTATTGTCTACAGATGAAAGCAGCTGTTTCTAACCTGTCGTGGAGCTCTGTTGTCATGGAGAAAACCTGCAGGACACTGTTGAGGTAACATGTGGCACCCTGATTATACAGACCATAATGACGTCTCTGTGTCGGAGTCACTTAAAGGAAAGAAAAACAGTGTCATTACACCATTTTCATTAAGTTAGAGATATGAAAACATAGAGCAACAGGAGACCGCAGCCACCAATTTTATAGGTATCTCAAAACATATGTAAATAATATAATACTACAGCAAGCTTTTGTGAGTTATAAGCTACTTGTGTCTTTGTACGGACACTCGTTGAAATATATATTTAAAGATTTAGATGAAATCAAATAGTTTTCCTTTTAAATACTGTTTTCCCAACACCTGTTATGTCGCAGAGATGTTGTTACCGGTAATTGAATTAAGTTCCCTGGTTTGTCTCCAATCAACATGACAGCTGTGCTTGTACATTGTGGGCCCACTTTTCCTTTAATCTCTGTTTTCTCTCCTGCAGCAAGTGTCCTGCAGTAATATTTGGTACTTCACCTGCATCGTTGTTTTCTTTTCGTTTCTTCCACTTTACCACTACAGCCTCGTTATTCGGTCGTTTTCTTGAGCCGCTCATCTTTCCTCTTGGAAAATAGGAAAGTGTCTTATCGTTATTTATTTAGGTGGAGAAAAAAAAAAAAAATCAACTTCTGTGTCATTTGGTAAAGAAGGATAGAAAATGTGTTGTTACCCTGTGAAGTTTTTCCTTTGACTTTTGTGGAGGAGACAGTTTAAACCTGGACAGCAGCAGCACTTGAGGAAGGAACCAGGTGAGACAGTGCAGAGCAGCTCTGTGTGGAAACGTTCACAGCATGTGTGGCTCAGAAAAGACCAGCAGAATCATATGAATTTGTTTTCCAATCAGTGACAAAAGAGGATAACCATCCTTCTTCTTCGAGCTACATTCAGCTGCTGTAGTTTCTTCCACTGATCAAAGTACCTTTTAGTTCAGTTCAGTTCAGAAGGAGATGACTTGCACTTATTAAACCAGATTTATATCAGGGTGTTCACTGTGGATCTGGCATCCTTACAGGGTAATCCCGATTGAAGCTGCTGCTCCGTCGTCTGATTATAAATGCCAGTAATACCTGTGGCAGTTGTGAAAGCGCTCACCTGGCACGAGAACAAAACTGTGGACGGATGTAGATCTCTGACGGACCGCCAGCAGGAGGAAGTTATTGTTAAAGAAGTAAAGTTCGGGTTGCGCACCTTAAATCACACATTTCTACGATGGTCCCGAAAGTAATCTGAGGGTAAACAAAGCGCGTTATTGTTTTGCATCGCGTGCAATGACTCTGTAACATTCACGGTTTTAATCCAAGCTGTGAAATGAGTGTTAACACTGATTACACAAGACAAACACAATACATAGCTGCACGGATTCAAATCAAATAGATTGGAGTAACTTTCAAACAGCTGCGAGGATACTAACTGAGATATTAGAGGGGGAATAATACTTACTGACAGCTTCACATGATGACTCCAGGACGGTGTAGTGGAGGAAGTGGCTTCCTCTCAATGTCTCAACCGGCAGCTTCGCGTTAGGAGCCTCAATGCTAATTAAGGGAAGATTAAAGGTGTGGTTTTATTTTGAAACCTCGCTGCCAGACGGCAGATGTTTGAAAGAAAACGCCTTGTAATGCTGATAATGAAGTAAAGAAAATTCAATTATAAAGTGTTCCTGCATGATATCGGGAATATTTCTAACATCCTTGTTCTTGTTTTTACTTTACTGACAGACTACAGAATGTTGTCTGACTACATTCTTTTACTCGCAGTTTCTGCTGATCTCTTTGTTTTGAGTTTCTCATGATGACATATTGTTTACCCTGCGGGTCATAATTCATTTTGCTGCTGAGATTCAACTGAATGTCACCTAACACCCCATGACTCGATGACAACCAACAATGTGACGCACGCTGTTGATTGACATATGGAGAGCGTTCACTGGCACACGTGGGTGAATAGACTTCACAAGGAAGAGAATAATAAAAATAGCATCAGCTTGTAATAAAGAAAGACATGTTAACCGGTAACACAACTCATTTCTACAAAAAAATATTTAGACATTTCATTTTAAGTCCTGCCGTAGGTATTTAATTATGTTTAAATTGGGACATTGGGCAAAGGAAACGACTCGTTTTCTGGCATATAGCAGCATGTAACACGTTCTTCATTGAGCCACCATTATCATGTTTTATTTACCACAGGGCACTTTAAACATATACGTGTTTTTTCAAACATATGCCCCAACAAGTAAGGGCAGGGCACATTCACTGTCTCTGTGCGTCTTCATCACGTCAGGCGCCTCCGGGCAGCATCAGCAGCATGTGGATGGTGGACAGATGTCGGATCCGGTAGGACGACAGCACGGCGGATTCCTCCAGCGGCCTGGCTTTGTGGACCACCCGGAAGTCATCCTCTGAGCAGAAAGTAAAGGAGACTTTGTTTACTTGTTTCCCCCCCCCAGCCTCCACTGTGAATCCCCAGAGGACGTTCTCACATCAGATGTCATGTTGGATTATCATGAGGAGGATTTGGAGCAGAACCATGAACAAATGTGGACTTCAAAGAAAACACTACACTGTCTTCTCAATTTGTATTGATTTAACTTGACTCAATAGTTAAAGATGTCTTGAATCTTTAAAACACAATATATGGTATAGGCCTATAGTCTAATGATTGATTGGTTTAGTCTTGCGATTAAATGTGTTATTGTGTGTCCAGCGAGCAGCTGCTTGCCGAGATGAAACCATTTATTAAGGAGCATTTTTGGTTAAATAAACTTTCTTTATTTATACAGACTATATCAGGTAACATTTAAATATCCTATACACTCCTTCATAAAGCTTACCGATATTTAGTTCTTCCGCGATTTTATTCTTTAGCTGCTGCACAGTGATCCTGCTCATCTCCTCTTGCCTCTCGCAAAGATTGATGATATTTTCCTCTCCCCTTAGTCCATTTATTTTCAGCTGGATTTTCATTTTGCCGCCGAGTCTGTTCAGAGCCGAACACCTCTGCGTCGAGTGTATGAGGTGCGTTTCTTCCGGTGGATCCCGATACAGGTTATGCAAAACACAAAAAAAACCAAGACGCGTCACTTCTGTCAACTTCATATCACATGACTACACGGGAAAAGACGAATAGGCTCGCGCGCACATTAAAGTGCAGGGTGTAGTAATGTTATAAGAAGAGCCGAGAGACGGAGTCAACATGGGAAACAAACCATCAGCTAAACGGGAGCGGAAACAAGTGGTCAGAAGTCTCTCTGTCTGGCACCTTCCTCCGCCTGAAGAGGAGAAGCGTTATGACTTCCCAGACGCCACTCTTACATTTGTAGACGAAGATGACGTATTAGATTGTAAGTATCGAATTTCACTTTTACCAATAAGTTCAACAATTATATAGTACCACACACATTCTATTTTTACCGTGGCTACTGTTACATTTTAAACAGCCTATTCATAGTAATAACAGCATAAAACACTGCACGTGTTTTCATCTGCGTGTGTGTGTCTCGTAGTTTTGTGCGCTGACTACAAGTCCCGCAGAGCAAAGATGTCCTGCGGCCATGCTGTCACTCCGATGTCTCTCACCCACTGGTGCCGCAGGCAGCTGGACAAGGTTTGTTATTTACCTTCACCTTTATCATGAAACACACCTTTATCATGAAA